TGTTTGTTTGGTTCTCTTTCACCACTCTCATAACGTTGTTTTCGGACATCTGTTTTAAGCAGAAAGCCAAATGCGCACACAATCTCAGTTAGCTACTAGCTGGTGAAGATAGTGGAGCAACCAGCAGCCAAAGAGGCAGATATTTCCCTCATGAGTTGGTGGAGACCAAAAATAGAGCTCAAAGAGAGTGAACATTTGACATTCATTTCGTGACCAGAGACACAACTGAATGCTAGCGTTGCTTTGTAACTGCTGGATGTGTAAATAGGAAACTGTTTCCTAACACGTTCACCCTAACAACTTTATAGGACATCAGTGCTGTTTTTCTGCTGCCCCAAAGTGGCCTAAAATGTATAAATGCAGGTTTGAATGTGCAAAGGACTCGAGACTAAACTACTACCATGCAATCCAGAAATGCACAAAACTGATGCAGCACCCATCGCAAAAAGTGATGATCAGATCAACCCAAACAGCTTCACAAGCGAATAGCAACAAACCCCAACAACAGCCATTCTATTTTAAATGCCTGTAAACGGTATTATCGTAGTGCTGTTGTTAGTCTCCATCACAGCTGCAGTTATTTAACACAGGCTTGTGAAGTGGGAAGGGGAAGGCCACTATTTTTAAACTGCCAGTAAGATACCAAAACTCTGCTGACAACAGCACAGTTAGAAAGTTGACCTGCATGACACCTGAAGTGGTATATAAATAAATATGTCAAAACATTTCATGAACCTGTAGTTCTACAGGTCAACGCTAATAAAAATCTTAGTCCAGAGGTTAAAATGCCTTAATATGGCCAAAAAATGTACAGTAACTATATACAATATATTATGTTCATAATATTCAAAAATTCAAAGATGATTTGTCTTACCAACCATGTTCTCCTTCCACCACCGGAGCTGCTGCTGTTCCATCACTTTCTTAACTTCACAGTATATCTACTCCACCACCAGATCGTTGATGTAACCACAGTGGTTTGTCGTTCTTGGCTGTTCCGTTTTGTGTAATCTGCATTTAGTGCTGTTGGCTTTACCTGAACTTACCCTTTTCCCTTGTGTCTCCAGGATCATTCTGACTCCCCTGTCTGCTCGCCTCACCTGCTTGCTACCATAACCCTGAACTATCTCACCAGCCACACTCTCACCCTCATCAGCCTGCCCTGCTCAGTTCAGTTCAGTCCTGCCATTGCTCTGCTACCATCTCCCTCCGCTGCTCCTCCCTAACCCCTCACCAACCACATCACCCTTTGTCCCTACAGTGATTCCTTCATTTACTCTTCTACACTCTTTGTCTGTGTTTGCATTTGGGTCCACAAAATGCTGAACGTAACAAAATCTTGACTTCTGTGGTACCATAATGATTTTACTGGTTAGTTTAGGTTGATGTTGAAATCTGCAAGACATTTCTGCTGTAACAGCTGCTGGGTCTATAGCGTGAAGCCATCCTTCAATGATGTTTGGCCCATTTAAGCCCAGAACATCTCAGGATGGTGGGGCAGCGGTCAGGGACGTCTCCCTGCAGCTGGATTTAGATTCGATTAGTCAGGTGGTTCCACATCTTGGCTTCTCAGTTCCTTCAGGTCTTGTGTCTTCACAGGACCCTGTCAAGTGTCAGTGTAATGGTGTTTATATCAATGGGGAACCTCCACTGCTTGTAAAATGTCTGCAGTCATTGACCTGTCGTTTCCTGAAGCCAAGACTGATGATCTGTCCGGGCAGTTCTGGACTGATTGTCCAGCAGTCACAAATTAGACAATGTTACTGATCACCAAGGGTTAAAACATTATATATCAGTAAAGTCTGCTCATTTTCTGTTGTGTGTTCCCAGAAGCAATAAAACAGGAAATGCCAAAGAAGATGTTGAAACTAAATCAAATGCTCTGTTTCTGTGTGAAATCTGACCCCCGATGCAACACTATCTAAGATACAAATTCCTATTATTCACATACACGCACGCACAAACACACACACACGCTCTAATGCAGCAATTTCCCTAACCCTTCACTCCATGTTACACAATCTGTTCAATTGTGTGGAAATATATTCTGAAAGTGTGTGATTCAGCCAAAAGAGAGCAGCAGTAATACAACAGTTTTCTCATAAAACAACCATAATGAAACACTTTTACAGAGACATTAACCACAAAACTTTTAAATATGCAAACTATCTCCCTTAAAAATTATTTGTTTTGTTGGTCAACAACCCCCAGCATCTCAACACCAATCCACATGTTACAATATTAGAAACCCACAAACCACTAAAGAACGTTGACAATAGCATGAGTGCATCAGCATTGCCAGTTTAGTCTGCAATGCTGCATTTTAATCACGAAACAACATTGCTATTTGAGAGACTATGAGCATAGCTGCGAGTGCGGGTCATGGGATAATTAATACACTATAACTGAGGTCTTGCTACAGAATAATGAGGCCAGAGAGCACTTCCCCTAAAACACATGTTATGGACTCAACGAGGCTGTCTCCTGATAAACATGATGACAATTATAACTAGAAGCAATGGACTTTAAATCAGGCTGCTTTCCTGTTTTGCCGCAGTGTTTGAGCCATGCTTGCGATGCAGCTTTAAATGGATGGCAATGTCAACCTGTTGGTCAATTTGTTTGGTCCACATGTTAATATTTCAACAACTATCTGACGGATTGCCCTTTAGTTTTCATACAGACATCCGTGATGCCCTGAGGATGAATCCTCCATGACTTTACCTCTAATGTCACCAGCCAGTCAAAGTTTCTACTTAAATAACATCTACTTGACACCTTTCAAACAGACAGTATTCTTGCATTAACTATACTGTTGGACGATGTTGTGTTTATCTTTTATTGATATTTTGGACATTGCAGGTCTGACTTCACTGATGACCGTTTTTTAGTTTTGAAACAAAAATGTGTTTCCTGCTACACACAACTACACCATTCAAAGCATACAACTCAAATAAGCAGCTACACTAGACAACTAAAACAAAGACTTTCCAAACAAATGAACCATCCACAAATCTAAGTGCACAGTTTTTCTATAAATGACCATTCACTGGAGAGACCATGTGAAAACATATTTGTATGTTAAGACTGGGGGAGAGCATCCCTGGAGGCATGACAATTACCCGGCAGCCTTAAGATAACAACAGTGCACAGTGTAGTTGTACAACGACCCTTAAGTTTTCCTTTTTTTAAGGATCATTTATTTTAATGGACCTAAGCAGAACAGTACATGCCCAGTTTTCCAGACATATCCGGTTTCACAGCAACATGTCTTTTACCGAGTGAACAAGTGCCTTCATGGATAAATTGACGGTATAGTGCTTAACCATCATGTATTCAGTTTCCACCATCACAACGTCACAGCTTCTCTAAGGCAACAGTCCTGAATAAAAACAAAGTTCTCTCGGTTAAATGTCATTATTGTGTGAAAGAAAGGTACACTCACTCCAACTAAACTTGAAATTATTTAAAGCGCTGCCTCTTCGTAAACAGCATACCAGTCTTTAGCTTTGGCTTTAAATTCAGGTAATATAAGTCTAATTGTGGACATACACCACAATCAATAAATCAATAAATAAAATCATAAATATTACAAATAAAATAGAGCACCAGTATTTTATATAAGCCCATGCTATTCACTCTAGCAGGGATGCAAAGATGAAAGCAAGTTGTCTGATGTTTTGCAGGCTCTTTATTTCCCCATGAGGTGATAAGATGATGATTCATACTGTGAGAAAGTTGTGGTTTAATTTAGTTTTAACAAACGGTTGAACCAGTCAGCCCTGTGGAAGGTCTGCCCTAAAGTTTGTTTCTCATTTCCAATCAAAATTGAGTGCTCATGTATTGTATATTTCTTTCATTTAATGCATACGTCATATGTTTAATCTAGTTAGTAGCAGCAGCACCTCTTTATTGTAACATCCATGAAGATGATGTAGGATAAACACGAAAAAGGTTAATGGTTCTCATCCATCAGAGCTGAATCCGTGAAAGTGCGTCAGCAGAGAAAGTTAGAGAAGGGGAAAAACTGAAGAGTGCAGCAGTAACCTTACTTTACAATGAATCACTAATTTGGGGGAGTTATTTTCAATGACCCTAAATTTCCTCCTGGATAGTTAAACGCTGACACTGCAGTCCTGTGTTTCCCGCATCTGAGCCCCTAACTGGTCACATATGAGAGGAGATGAAGTCGCGAACAGCAGCATTGTAATGCAGCATATTGATACAGTCTGGTTTCGTTACCGTCAGTGTTGAAATGCTGCAACTCTACTCAGAGGGAACATCTCTGAGATGAAATCACCATATACGTATATCGCATCATTGAAAACAACAAAACAGACCTTTTTACAGGGAACTGTTTCATCACATTGACTTCCAAAGGGGAGACATGACATGTTTTGAACTCATGGATGATGTTACTGACTGTTGACTAACAGAACAAGTTTTTGTCCTACTTTTCCTGTAAGCACACTTAGTACATGTATTCAAGTACTGTACTTAAGTGCAATTTTGAGGTTATATTTCCTTCTTGTTCTACTCCACTTAATTAATTTGACAGCTGTGGTTACTAATCAGATAAAGATTTTGAGTTTCTCCACAACAATTCACACAAAAGCACCGCTTTAAATATTGTGTTTAACAAAATAAGTCATGTATCATGAAAAAAGCATAAAAAACGACAAATCAACTAAAGATATCTTCGTTGACAGTAACCAAAACGACAATGAGTCGACAAAGTGACAAAAAGAGGGCAGCCCTAATATTTTGCAAAAAATACTTCTTAAAAGTAAAATGTCGCATTAGGACATTTACTTATAATGGGGTAGTTTTAGACTGTGGTACTGATTATTTTACTTAAGTAAATGAGCTGTACTTGTTCCACCAATGAGCACACTGTGCGTAATTCCAGACGGCAGTAGTGTAGTTCATGTGTTGTACGCTGCTACCCTCTAGTGATCAAAAGGAGACACATCAAGAAACAAATTCTGTAAAACCTGATGAATGCTGCTTCTGTTTTCTGTTTACTATTTATTGTTGTGCACTGCACTTGATCATTATGTACATCTTGTAACGGTAAACAGACCTGAAAAGGAACACATGAACATAATTTGTACACAGTTTAGTAATACTTGAACAGCAGACAGGCAAACACATAACGTACAGTAGTCTGTTTACAAATCTGATCACTTCCATACATACCACAACTTCAACCAACACACATCCATTGACTACAGTATAGAGGTTAGCTTTTTAACATAGCCGTAAGATTGCAGATAGAGAATTCAGTCAGTGAGGGAGCTTATGGGGGTTATTTCACATGTAGGTCCTCAGTGTAAATAGAGCACAGGAGCACATACTACAAGCTTCCTGTGTCTGGTAAGTCACCAAAGAAAGCAGTAGCCTCCAGATCAGAGTTCAGCCTTTTCTGACTGAGACCCAGAGTCTTGTCCAGGGACCCATTTCAGTCGAGACGCTCTGTCCAGTTAAAGAAACAGCACTTTAAAGCAGTCATACTCAGTATATCCAGTCAAAATCCTCAACACAGCCAATGTGAATCCTGGGTAACAATGAAGTCAAACAAAGGGGGAAAAAAACGTTATGAGGGTTAACAACCTAGATCTCCAAAATAGAGAGAACCAGAGAGCATGAAATCGATATAAAGAACAGTTCATGAACATGTAAAGGCAAATATTCTGCTCAATTTGTGCGTGTGAAAATTGACTGTAAACACGTTTTTGATAACAGATGTCAAACAACAGAATAAAGTATCTCGACAGGCTTCTACAGTAGAGCTCTGTCTGTATCGCAAAGCTGGAGGCGGAAGATGTTATAGGATCATTGGATTCCTGTGAAACTTCAAACACCTAAAAAAGATTGAGAATTGCGTCAGTTTCCGCTTTCCAATAGGTAATTACATATTCTGTTTTTGCATATGTTTGTCATTGGCCCATGGGCTTCATCCCAGGACTGTGAAACACTTTTTACACAAGGAGACAATGTCAGGAGTCAATTTCCAACATACAAAGGAACAATCACATCAGAATATTTGTGAAATGATATGGAGAGAATTCAAATCTGCTCTGGATTCAAACTAACATGTCAAGCCATGTGTCGTGTAATTTGATGTTGATATGAGATGCATGACAGTATTACTCAGCCAGACAAAAAGCTGCATGATAATGATCAACTATCAAAAAAAAGTGTCAGTGCTGAGATGGAAAATATCTCACAAACATAAACAAATTCCATAAAGTATTTTTTCTTTTTTTTTTAAAACCAATGTACAATCACTGCAAATCAGTGTTTTGATAAAGTGTTGAAATGTAAGCAGATATAAGTAGATTCTGAGTGAAAGTAGTCATTTGAGATGTGATAATGTGAACCACATTAATTCTCTCTCCAACAGTTTACATTATCATCCTACAGTGTGAGGATATTTTACATCCTTGTATCATCAACTGTTCAGCTATTCCCATGTTTTGCTAGCTTGTCAGTCAGTTGATGACTGATGGCCCTCAAATCCCAAACATGTCCTTTACATACATTAGCTGATGACGTTCAGTTCTTTTAAACCACAAAAAAATGCAGCAGGTCTGATACACAAAACAACAAAATGAAAAAAAGCAATAAGTGAACAAATAAATAAATAACAATGGCTTTCCTTCAAAGCTGCACCGAGTGAAGTTTGTGCTTTCACAGAGCTCCCTTGCAAAAATACATGTGTTCATTTATGAATGAGTAGGCATGAGGCCCCGAGGTGCTCCATGTTGTACATGTGTTGACCCTAAAATACAGTATACAATCCTCAGTTTCCTCAAACGTGGAAACACACAAGGCTTGATTACATCAGACACACCAAAAATGAATCACTCTTCCAGTACAAGCACCTTTTTGTCAATCTGACATCTGAACATTAAGTCGGCAACCTAAACTGTAGCAGCCCTCTGTCCAGTGTTTTTATTTTAGAGCCCCATTCATTTTCTTTTTCAATTATCCCCAGCAGACTAAATAAATAAGGCTCATGGAGATGGAAGCCAACCAGTATTCAGTTACTGTCAAAAGTGCTAATAGCAGTTTGCTTTCACTCTCTTTGCACTTTCATTACAATTTTCTAAATAAGATAGATTGTAAATTTACAGTTCCAAACAACCTGTTTTGGATGAAAAGCAGGTTTGTCAGTGACACACCTATTGTAACTTGACTTTTTTGTCCTTCGAAGAACATTCAATTGTGAATTTGACATGACAGAACTGATCGTGGATCCAATTTTCACACAAAGTACAGCAGAATGTTTTGTGGCTAAATGCTGTTGAATGCTTATTTGTGCCTTACAGACTACGCTGGCGCTCTGAATCCTTTACTGACAGCCGTCTGTGAAACGCTTGTTCAATTTTCTCCCTGATGTGTTTTTATCTTATCATGTGTGTCCGTCGTCTCTCGCTCACTTTTGATCTGTCTCCCCTCAATCAAGCGTTTCTTTTGTTTTTCTAGACGTCCCGGTGACTCTGCTTTGATTGCCGGGTGTGTTTCGGGGCTAAGGACAAACAGAGAAAGGGCAATGTTGCACCACATACATACAGTGGGAAGGTACAATTGAGCTACGGGGAGTTGTTTGTTCAGTCACACTGTTCGTCTGGAGGCTGGAGTTCTGTAGTCTTTTGCCGTCTTGCAGATCAACTGGATGTTCTGTGTTTGTGTGTGGTGAGAAGAGAAGTACGGGTCAAAGCACAGGTATAAAGGCAGATGTTGTAGGGTGTGGCTGAAGTATGTTGACCAGAAATGGTGACACATTTTTTGGATTGGATAACTCTCCTCGCTCACTTCCTCTGTTTATTCAGTAGAGGGGTTTTTGTCCTTGGCTTTCAAATTCTGACCAGGCATCATTTAGTTCAATGAAAATCATCTTGGCATATTGTTCATAGGGCTTTCCTGTTGCCTGTGAGGGAAGACAGAAAACAAAACAGATAAACCCATAGAAAAATTACCTGAAAACATTCTCCACTTCTGGCCATATCCAAATGAGTGATGCAAACGAGGGAAGTTTGGATATAAAACCCAACTTGACAGGTTGAGCTTTGGCCAGACATATTAAAGCTGACACAGGCTCTTAAAATATCTGACTCTGTGGTTGCAGTCAAAAAAAGAAACTGATATAATATCAATGTATTCACACAGAGGTGATGAACCTTTGGGAGGAAAATGTAGCTGGCAAAAAACAACAAACAGGTCTAAAAAAACTAAACCTTACGCAAACAAATTAATGAACAAATTAAACAAAAATATGCAATCATCATACTCCATTTGATTTAATTAAACTTTAAAACTTTGCACAATAACAAAGATATTCATCCTCCAAACACTGTTCTTGACACATTTTATTGTGTTCGTCAGTAAAAAAAAAGTTAGTTTAGTTCAGATAAATTATCTATTTTTATGTTTCCTTGTATGCATTTACTTTTAGCCATACTAAATCAATGAGCCCTTGTTGTTGTGGGCTTATGCAGTTGAACCATATCTGACATAAAGCATTCTCTAAGTCTTCCCAGTTCTAAATGCTGCCGTCTGGTACTGATTGATCAGTGGGTATTGATTTTGTGATTCACTCACTAGACCCCTATGATTGCGTACATTTGGGGTTGCACCGACTTGTTCTGATAAAAGAGAGGAAGATTAGAAGGGTAAAAAGTAGTTTCTCCCAGCAGATCACAGAGCCATAACCTTAAACCACTGAGCATTCCTGACAGTAAAAAGAAAAAGGCTTCCCTGAAGACTGAAACCACAGGTAAGCTCATTTTACCGGCTGCTGTTATGATTGCCTTTCCCTTGCCATTCCCTTGCCTCAGTTCACTGTATTTATTCACAGGCACAAACTACTTTCCTTGTGGGTCTGACTGTGAAGATCTGGAGCCAGAATTTGTGGATTCATTGCAACAATGCCCCTGATCCTACACCTCCTCACACTGATCTTGGTGGAATGCACCATAGGAGCCCCAAAGGTCATGAAGGCACCAGACGCAAGCGTAGATGGTATCAATATTTTTCTGACTATGGCATGGCAAGTAGCCAACCACATAAGCCCTACTTCTAGCTGTTATGTCTGTGGCCTAATGCCCTACACAGCTGGAGAAGGCTTACCTCTGATGGCCTTACCTGCCTCTGACTGCGACACCTGCCACCTCATGCATATTCCGCTATCTCAGTCCTATTCTCATCCTGATTGTTCCAGGCTCTCCAAAATGAGACCACTTAACTGTTCTAGAGGACATGGGAACTGCTACAGATGTCTCAACACTCCCAAACCTGTTCCCATACAGCTCATACCAAAAACATTCCCTTGGTGTCTCCAGAATGACGGCGAGACACACGTGGGACAATCGGACTGCCTTCGTTCATTCAAATGGGACCCAAGACAAACCAATATGGAATTTAAATCTCTGGATTCTGCACCTCAGCAATGTTTGGCAACAGCAGGCCAGGGTCGCTTCAGTGCTCTAGCTCACCGCACTGCCAGATGCTCCATCTCCTCTCCTGTAGGAATGTACTGGGTATGTGGAAACCTTGCGTACCCGTATCTTCCCGTGGATTATAAAGGGCGCTGCGGATTGGCCTACGTCATCCCGGCTATGAGGGTGGCTCACTCCCTGCCCCAGAAAGCTGTCAAACGGGTGCAACGTGGACTTTCAGATGTCTTTGGGACTCACCATCAATCAAATTTCAAGAATGCACTCGGTCCCATTCTTCCTTTTTACGGAGTTATGTCTGCATTAGATCAAATTGCCGATTTGTCTCATTCGATAGAAGTTATAGCTAATGAAACCGGTAAGGCTCTCATGCTTCTGTCAACTGAACTTGCCTCTGTTAGACTTTTAGCTTTACAAAACAGAGCAGCTTTGGATTTTCTTTTAGCAGCCCAAGGAGGAACGTGTGCTGTCATTGGCTCTGAATGTTGTACCTTTGTGCCTGACTATAACGCTACGATTGGCGATGTAATTAACCACCTTCATGATACTGCCAAAACTGTTCACCAGGATAGCAGTTCTTTATTTGATTGGTTGAAAACTGCTTTTGGTTCAATGGGTCATCGTGCTGTTGAAGTGCTGATCATTTTGGTTGTTTTCATTGTATTACTCTCTTTCTTTATATCATGTGTGAAAAAGTTCATCTTTAATATAAGTTAAGTACAAACAACTTGCAATCGTATGGCACTAGGATTTTCATTTTAACTTTGCCAACATGACTAATCCTTAGATGGTATACGTCTCTTAGATTACAGTAAAACTGTAACAATGTGCTTCAAAACACGTTGTCAATCACTTTGTTTTACCATCTTGATAATTACTAATTTTATGAGAATTGCTCATAAAACATGATTTTGAACAGATTATGTGTTTTAGAACTTTCAACTTCTGTTTGGGGTTTCAGGGACACAGCTGTAAAACACAAATACACTAAATGAGGAAACACAATTCATTTAAATGTGCTCTATATCTGTGATTGGTGTTGACAGAACTTTTTGAAGTTCAACAATTGTAAAAAATTGTAACATTACACTATTTGACCCACAAGTATCAATAATAATAAAACATTTCCTTATTTTGTGTAACAACACTGCTGTGCAAGTCCAGTTTGTTCCAAAGAGAAGTTAAATTATTCTCTATATATGGTGTTTTCAAAATAAAAGAGCAGGCCAAAAAATATATTAATAATATATATGTGTGTGATGGGGAAAATCTGAATAAAACTGTAATTGTTCTAAAATGCGACAGAGTCTTATTTTCTCTCCCTGCATTCATACAGGTATAGATCCTCACTTTATTATTATTATTATTATTATTATTAAGTCCACCAGTCATAATGTGTCTCACCTTATCTGGATGAACGACCAGGACTGCTTTGCGGTAGACCTTTTTAACCTGTTCCGGAGTAACCAGGTCAGCCATGCCCACAGACTTCCAGCGCGTCTCCCCCTCCCACAGCACAGTGTGCATGGTGGACAGCAGAGCACGGATGTTACGCTCCTTCCCCTCGATCCAGTCCAGAATCTGGGTCACAAACGGGAGCGGGAAGGAGAGGGAGCCAGATTTGAAACAATAATTAGAAATGCTTTCAGTGATTTCTGGCTCTGGTAAAAATGTTTTTATAGTAATTAGAGGATCCAAAGTTTGGTCATGGGAGACCTACATCGGTTGCGTCATAAAATCTGGAATAAACAGAAAAGCTTTAATAGCCAAAGGTTTTTGAGTGCACTATCCTACTTTTGGGAGCTACTGAATTGCTTGTATTGTGCTACACTGGATAAACAGATGACTGAAATGCAATTCTACTCAGTGATGCAAAAGTCATGGGACTTCATGGTGTTTCTCAAAGAAACAGCAAAATATACAGAATACAACATCCAATACAAAAATACAACAGCAAATAAGGACAACAAACCACTCTTTAAATGATTAGTACACAGATGTTGCTCAACATCACATGAGAAAAAATCCCCTGCCTTTATTTTCTCTGGGTCCATCTCTTTGGCCATCTCCTCCTTCCTCATCTCTGCTATAGTCCTGGGCCCTTTCTTATCTTTGGCCCCTGCAAAGCCCTGACCAGATAGCAGGTCATCAAAGTTGGCATGCAAGACTTTGGGCTTAGAACCTGGGAGAGAGGAATGCAAACAACAAAGACAGAAAACACACTGTTTTAAAGCCATTTTAAGCCACTTACCATCCTGTACTACATGCTGCAATGCTCTGAGGGCTACTGATTGAGTGAGAGATTAACTCCCACTAAAGAATGAAAGGGCTTGGCACTTTATGTAACAGAGACAATATGGATAAACATGTAGAGAGGAGTAATTAAAAAGATATGATGTATACAGGGCATCTAGCTTCAAATAATTATGGCAATTTATGTAAAAGATTTCATGCCTACAAGAATTTAACAAATTCACAACCTGACCACATCGTTTTCATCATAAGAGACAACATCTCATCCACATCTCATGCTCACCCATGCTAGCCTGTGCTTTGGCCCCAGCACTGGGCGAGCCTCCCCCCATTGCAGAGAAGCTGACGTTGTAGTTGGGTCGGTTCTGGGGCGACGTGTGAGTCATGGGGGTGTGACTGGGGCTGGGCTTTGGCTGCGGGGCAGGGCCCTGTCCTTGGTGTTGCCATCCTCCACCGCCTCCAGCACCTGGCTGCCACGATGGGAAGCCGGCTCCTGCGTTGGCCTGCCACCCTTCTGCATGCTGGGGAGATGGAGGAGGTCGCGAAGGGGAGCCCATGGGAGGGAGGGAAGGGGCGGCTCCAGTAGGAGTGGTGGGTTTGCTGGAGAAGCTAGGGCCTGCTAAAGCAAAGGACAGAGATTATGACATATAGTAAGGTTGAAATAACAACGGCTAATGTGCTACAGAATATTTCCAGTGACTGACCTCCAAGGCTTCCCCCGAGGTTTCCTAAGTCAGCGAACGGGTCCAAGGTGTTTGGCTTGTTTTGGTGGGTGGGGGTGCTGTTGACCGAGCCTGTGGGGCTAGTAGTGGCTGACCGACTGCCCATACCAAAGCCTGCTCCTGGAAAAATCAACAAACAAGTCATATATTTGTAGCCCTTAATTTTACAGAGTTATTTTGGTCTTCAGCATTTAGTTCCACCAGCTCTCACAGATGTTAATACATACAATTGGTTTAGTTGGTTTCCCCAGTAATGTGTTAGAAGAACTTTTAGTCCTGTTGGTGTTTGTGTATGTGTTTGTGTGTGTTTGGGTTACTGGTTTCTACCTGTGCTTGTTGTGGCAGGTCTGTTCCAGTCCCATCCTCCCTTTGCGTTTTGCTGCTGAATATTGACGGATGGGGTGGAAGGCGGGACGGGTGAACTCCGGCCTATTCAAGCACATAAAAGTTTGTCACACACTGAGCTGAGAACACAGTGACTCACCCACACAGCCTGGGAAAATAATAACAGGGTTGAGTCTCATGAGAGGCGTTATGAGGGGGCAGTTTTATGTCTAAATGGATGTAGTTGTTAGTTCTTGAAACTGATTTTTTACTGTTGATATCTCCTTGCTCGAAAGGCACAGATAAAGTGTATTATTTGTTATAGTTAGAGGTCTGCAACCTCTCCTACAAATTGATCAGGCCTGTTCAGACCTGTTTTCTAAGCCTTACTGCCAGCCCAGGTTGGGTTCACGCCAGCAGTATATTACTGTCAATTTTAAATTATACACTGATTAATAGGCCCACTGATACAGTAATGTTGTTGTTGTCTTGCTTCATCATGCACACACTGCTGTGTAAAGGTGTGAAGTCAAAAGAAATGTCTTCAAGCTGATGGGGAATTATTCATGCTGGGGGTGAAATATCAAGCCCATGCAATATCTATGCTTACTAATCAGACAGGCTGCAAATACTCAGCAGACATCATGCAAGCCCATTCATTTCCACACAGCAGCAATAGAGAAAAGACTAACTCTTGCAAGACTCGTGCGTGAGGGAGCAATAATAGAGCACAAAAATATGAAAAAGGAACACGTTATTAACAAACACAGGGCAGTTTAATAAATCTTGGTGGGAAAAAGAAGTTTTAAACGTTTTAAACAGAGTTGCTGCACAGAGACGATGACGATGCATGTTAATGTGTTATGGTGTGGCAGCAGACTTGCAGATACTGCATAACGTGTCTTACCCTGATATGGACTCTTTTACATCCAAAATGCTGTGAGAGTGTGCAGCAGAAGCATGCCTTACCCAAGCTTGTAGGCTGCAGGGTGGGTGATGGAGAGCGAGCAGCATGCAGGAAGGGGTCTGGCTGCCCTACATTACCTGGTCCAAGGAATGAACCCATCATGTCCTGAGGCTTAGGCATGGGACCCGTCCCAAAGGGATCAAATGCTGAGGGACACATACATACCCACCATTATCATTGCCTTACTCTAGAAAACTGTATGGCCAAAATTCTTTACTTTTATAAAAGTTGTTTCATTTTATTTTCTTCACTTTTGCAATACAGAATGTGTTTTTCAGATGTCTAACTTATCATGACCCAGGTATGAGAATTTGAGTATAGCATATTTTTGCCTTCTTGCCATTTATATTTTGATGTGTTTATCTTTTAATAATTACTAACTGTATTAGCTTGAAAACATTATTTAAAATTAAGGTCAATGTATGCACTTATCAACAGCATGGGAAGAGGAAATTTAACAACATATCATCTGATGAATTTGTGAGAAGATGTTGAAAGCACCAGAGAGAGCTATTAAACTGACCTTGTGTTCAAATTATTTTGTCAGACTACTATTTCTAAATTTAACTTTCACGCTTAATTATCAGTCATTAGAAAAAAACCTAAAACCCTAAATGTATCAATATCACATTTAAATAATTGTTTTAGGGTTGTGTTTCAAGTCGAATGTACTTTCCAACTTGGGATCTCACCTGTTGGTGCAGGAGAGGGACATGGCGAGGCAGTGTTTGGGACTACTTTATGTGGGGTGGACTGGGCAGATGACGCCCCACTGGTTGGCTGGGGTGGGCCCCCGAACAAGTCCCCTAGGAGGTCAGTAGTTGCGGCTGCAGCAGAAGGGGGATGAGATGAAGGTCGGTTCATCTCATCGAGGCCAAGAAGATCCACTTCTTCGGCAGGTGTAGGGGCGGCAGCCATTGAAGCAGGGGGTTCGGGTCTCTGCGGGGCCGTGCCGGCGTTGCTTCGCTGGCTGGAGAGAGAGAGCATCTCATCATCCGAGGGCTCGCTCTCCTCACCATGGCCCCGACTGTCTGCACCTGCATGAGGCCGACTTGGCTCTGCAGGTGTATGAGAATGAGGAAAGAGGTAGAGAAGAAAAAGGGGAGGGGAGAGGTGTAATTATTACCAAATGAGACTGAAGCATACAAAGTGGTAAAAGGTAGAGAGCAATAACAATGCAGACAAAGGAAATTAATTGGGACAAAGCAGACAGAAATACAGAGTAGGTTAAGAGGGAAAAGTTGAGCATAATGGGCAACTATGTAGGTCATCTCTGCTACAAGCACCAGCTTTTCTTCTGATTCTGTGTACTGTGTGCTATAACACACTAAGCTGCACACTTTGCAGTTTGCCACTGGTAGCTGCTCTTAGCTACAACAATTAGAGGAAGTAATTTCTATAACAACACAATAAATCTTAATTTATGGGTCCAATCAATAGAATATACAGTATGCTTTTAAAGAAGGGATGGGATGTACATGTGACTATAAACCTCAGCTAGCATTAATCAAGAGCAATATTTCACTTTGGTAGAACAGGTTTAATCTCTACCACTTATAGCTGCACAGTTTTCCCCTTTGCTTCCTTTTACTATCATCACTGAGATGATGTGCTTTTTTTCCCAGTTCACCATATTTCTCTGGGTACAGGGAACATTGGTCTGCTGTTGTAGGCCACCAGGGGAGTTACATACAAGAGCAATGTATTCGTGTCTCTAGATGTTTGGTATTTATTCAAGAGACAGATTAAAATCATCTACCAAAATGATATATCACTGCATAACAAGGATGGGGTTAATTTCAATTCAATCAATACAGATCGTAAATGGAAACAGCCAAGTGATTTCCCAATAACAGAAGATTTATTGGTCTATGGGTTCAATGCTCTCTCTACATTTTGGGGAGAGTATGATTGAATTGAACCAATCCCTGGTTAACTTCTCTAAAAGGTCTTTGGTCTCCTCTATTGTCTTACCCTCCAGATCCAATCCCTCCATTTCATCTTGTCGGGACAAAAATGAGAGTTAGTTTGTTAGTGTGTTCTTGTGTCTGCATGTAAATATATGTGAATGTGTGTTTTGCACAACCACATTATCCTACCTCAAGTTAACTATTGCATTTCTGCACCATCTTATACATTTTTGCATATAAATTTGGTTTTAACTGTATTGTGCATTTAACTGTGTTTTAACTGTATTTGTAGATGTGTATTAGTCACTTGTTTCTATCCTTTTTGCTTTTGGCTAGCATGTTTTTGTAAGTAAGGACTTCTGTTTAGGGTTATTTTAGGTTAATGATCAGTAAGGCAATTCACAAACATTAGATATTTTGAATTTACATCAAATTCATGCTGTGAAGCTCTACAGAGCAAGTAACAATCACTGATCAGTCCAGAGGCATTTATATAGCTACACGTTATGCTATTGAATCAAGCCAAGGTACTTTGCTAGTAGCTAACTAGCTTGTAAGCTAGCTAGCTAGCTGGTGTCCTGCTAGTTGGTGCATTTTTTCATTGAGGTTGTGAGCTGGAACTTGATACAGGTCCATATTTTTGGCTTTACTTTCTAAAATACTGCTGCTAATGTGGTACAGAGTCTTGACAGATGTTGCTTGTGATTGAATACTGACATTATAATCGCTGTTTTATCTTTGGCTACACGACGAGCATTTAATATGGCAGTGGATACCTATTTAGTTATGGACAGAAAAACTAGAGAGCTTTTCAGAAAGGCTGATTAAAGACAAAACGTTAATGGATCACACTTTATAAAATAGCTTCCAATCTAAAGTGTGATGTACATTAGGCCTATGTTATTTATTTAATATATATACAGTATATGTGGCCCACATTATTGTTTGTGTGTCATATTTGTCCCCAGTGTAGCCGTCCCCACTCTACCAGCAATAGCCAGTGCGTCCTGATGCTCCTGATGGCAGGAGAAGAGCACATTGGGGTTGAGATCTTTACAGGGGAACTGCTCCCACGGTGGCGTCAGGTCTTTTTGCTTATCCACCCCCTCCACCTCCACGTCCAGTATCACATGGAAAAGCTGGGGGTACTTCTCAGGAGAGTCGCATGCATCCAGCTCTGGTCTGAGAGGAAAAATGTATGTGTGTTATAGTGAGAAGCACAGAGAGGGAAAGCAGACAGTATTTGGCAGGATTGTTTAAAATATGTGCTCTAAAAATCATGATTTCAGCCCTCTCTGTCAAACAATTACTTGCGCTCATTATATTTTCAGGTTGTTGGTGACAGTATTAAGATATCTAAAGGGATCAACAAGATGATCAATCACAGTGATTAAATAGAAGAAATGTACTCACTTGTTAAACTTTAACATGGTGGTACCAGGAGCAATGAAGCCAGTGTGAAACTGGATCTGGAAGATCTGGGTGTTGGACACCTAACGGTAGTAGAACAAATGTAAGTGTGAGTCATGGGATATTTTAGTGTATCATACCAAATTGCATCAAAAGTCAAATGTACTGTAGTCTCTCACTGTACAATTATCCTCACTGTCCTAAGTACAACTTTATGTTGGACTATGTCAAGTTCACTCACTGAGAAATCGCATGTTGATTTGCTTAGAATTTTACAAGCCTGCTTTCATAGTTTTCGACTGAATTCCTATGACAGCATTTTATATATCAGCTGATTTCTGGAATATAGACTTTGCTCAATAGAGTATGTGATGCCTAAGTGGATCAAAAGTCCAGCTGTAAAGAAACTGGTTGTAAACATGTCCACTTCAACCCATTTACCTAAATGGGTTTATACAGTAATTAAATAAGAGGGGGAAGTTATTATCTAAAATGTCAGTTAGATTTTAGTGGTTTATTCCTTGGACCTTGGGTTACTGTAAAAGCTGTAGTTGCATGCACACACTTTTCAATTTAATTAAAACCTGCGAAGCGCAGCATACAACTTTAAACCAATACCAGCAAATATACTGTTGGAAGTAAGATTATACGATAACTATAACAAACAACAGCCAAAAATGGCTAAAAAGAGAGTTTTCATTTCAGTTAGCAGCAACACCTGACTGTTTCATGGCTGATCTTGTGCCAACACGATTTTTCTAACATTGTCATTGTGCAAAATTGTTTTTTTTGTCAAGTTTTATAGGGATGTTGACTTTATCAGTAGACAGACATGGTTTGCAGTTTAGTCCCTCTTTCAGTAAAAATACTTTGTAGTACACAACATAGAGCAGATGGAGTTTACCTTGGCCTGCAGTCGTCCACCGATGGTAGACCTCATGTGGTAGACTGAAACAATGACGTCTCCTTGCACACTCACACCCAGAGGGAAAACTATCTTACCCTCTTGGACCCTGTGCTCTCTGGAGTGTGTGGGAGGGAGAAATGAAACAACATGTGGGGTAGAGGATTAAAGAATAAATGGGGCAGCAATTGGGAGAAAAATAATTAGAGGACACGTTGCAAAGAGAGAGAGTGGAGAATGAGGAGAAAAAAGGCATGATGTGTTTCAGACTCTTTAAACGTACCTTCATATACATCATAGGCTAAATGAAGTCTTGATTTTTTTTGAAGGCTTACACACTTCAAATAAAATGTCCCTACCTCATCCTCTCGTACTCCTGTGCAGTGGTGAAGATCTTTGTCTCCCCGATGAGGACGTCGCAGAAGGGCCGACAGCCACTGCGCTGCTTGTTGAAACAGGGGACCGGAGTAACGGTGAGACCCTTGATCATCAGGGGCTTGGGGTGTGGTAGACTGGGCTTCTCTGATACCATGCTACACACATAGCCTATGTACCTGCATGGAGAGAAGGAAAGATAATCACTTCTATCCTGTGTTAGTTTTAAATGGGAATGCCTCACTTTGTGCTATGTCATGTGTATAGGATAAGGGTAATGTTAATGCTGTCAGTCTCTCAGTAAACGTGCACTTAATCTCATGAAGGATGTTGTTGGATGCTCTAACATGGACTGATAAATAATACAGCTACTGGCTGGCAGGGTAATAAAAGGGCAAAATGATGAGGGTCTGTCAGCCCTGCAGCCTAAGATTTATGCTCAGGCTGAGGAGACTGAGGACTGCTGGCTGCACTATTCATGTTTTGATTAGCCTTTGCCCTACCACAGCCAATGATCTGAAATTATGTTAGAATAAAAAAATAAATTCTTCTGAAGGGGCAGATATGAGAAAAATCCCGTCTAATGCTGAAACCCGCTTATCATGTGAATGAGTTTACTTCTGACAGCTTTATCAGATTGTAAACAATCGCATTCAGCGGTAGAGAAAACACAGAAAAGAAGACATTTTTACAAAGAGGCCTCAAAGTCTAAACATCTAGTGTGAAACTTCTGCAGATGTTTATTTTTCCTGTCCTTTATTTTTCTCTTACTTCCACACACACACACAAACACACGCACACACATGTTTAGGGTTACAAACCTGTGGTGTGACGGCCAGAGGCCGGAACCTGGTCTCTTGGCACTGAGCAACTGCATGGCAGGAACCGGATTGTTGAAGAGGTGGCAGAAGCAGAACATGGCACAAACCAAAACACCCGAGGAAGCACGACCATCCTACAAACACACAGTAAGGAGACACTGAGACACTTCAACAAATGCTGGGTAATCATTATATTCTAAAGCTTCGCTAATATACTTTTTGGTCTAGTCTGCAATGCATGGTAACCCCTGCACTGCTTCCATTTACATCTTAGCATTGCAGCAATGGTAGTGTGAACATGTATAGATCAAGCCACAGAACACAGAGATTCTAACTTGGTGAATGCTTGCTGTAGATCTCCACTGTCATCCTGCTATAAGAAGAACGGTTAAAGTAGCCACGGATCTACTGTACCTAGCTTTCTGCTAAATCATAGCTGAAAGAAGTTCCTTTTAATATGTGAGTTTATGGAAATGTCTGATGATGAAACCATGTGCCCAAACAGGGCAACATTTTATGTAACGGTAGTCAAGATTTTCTGCACACTGAATTGATTCACTGTCATACATTTACTCAGTTAATTTCAGGTTACAGGAAGACAAAAGCATTCTTGTGATCCGAAGCAGAGAAAACATCTCATTTAGAAAGGGACCGTTTGGTGGAGGTTATGCAAGATGGAGCAATTTGCCAAGCCACCGCACAACCACAGTGACTTGGCAATAACATGCTCCACAGTGTACAGTGTGGCTGTCACTGAATTAGAAAATACACAAAGGCCTGTTTCACTGAATACTTCAGTAGTAGCAATTGTATTGCAAAATATTTCTATTTTTATACATTAAAAGTGCCTTCACTTCAGAGTAAACTAAATGAAACATGGCAATGTATGTGCATGGTTAGAAATGAAAAAGCAAGGACAATTCATATAAAACAATCAATTAAAAATAAATGGAGGATAGGGATTAATATGATGAGGGTCTTCTTACCGAGCAGGTGATGACACACACATTTTTGGGATTCTGTTTGAGCCAGTTGTGCATGTTCTTACACACAGCAAACAGGTTGTGGAGGCTGGGAGCCTGGCGAGAAGGCCAATTACACTCTGAAACCTGGAAATGAGTTGGTGCAAGAAATAAGAGACAAGGGAGGAATGAGGAAAACAGGGATTGACACAGAAACAGACAGATCCAGACATAAAAAAAGCAGAGAAGAGGCAGAAGGCAAATAAAAATAGCGAGGGAAGGCAGAGAGAAAGGAGAAAGAAGCAGGAATAGAGGAAACCAAAAAATTACTTAGGAGGGGAGGAAATAAGGAGAGGTGGAGGTAAGCAACAACACTGCAGTAGCAGAGCAACACAACACGCCAGTGGCCATAATGAGTCATCTGCTGGAGTTACAGCAACTTCCACAAGCAGACAGGGGGCCTTTGCCACGTTAACTACACAGCTTTCTTGGATGTTTCTGCCAGAGGGTGGCACTGTTTTATCTACATGCCTCCCACTTGAAACCAAATCCAGCTGTGCAAAAGTGCTGCATGACTACATGCTGAGATAGTCATAACCATAAAGATGGAATAAAATAGAATAGATGGAGCATTCAGATTCAAATCCCGCTTTTGAAATTTGTTGGGGACACTTGGGTTGGTGAACCATAAGTTAGATCTTTCATTTAGAGACATATCGGGTCACAAGTGATCATTGTTGTGGTGAGGCATGTAAACGATGTTGAATCACTGCTGTGTTACATCTCTTGAAGATTAAAGATTGTTATGTGTACTAAAATACAAACCCCAATGTTGCTATATCTTATTGAAGCTTAAATGACAGAGGAGGGGTGAGTAATGATAGGCCCTATTGTGGAAATTAGAGGTTTCTCTCAGGGTGCTCCCATAGTTTATGAGCAGATGTAGCGACAGTTCCCACTTAAAATGCTGCCAAAAATAGCCGTCAAACTGTCATTGAGTCCTCATGTCTCACTGCAGTGTTGTAATAAAGTAAAAAATGCTGCAGCAGCCACTAACAACTAGGCACAAACTAATACATCTTCAGGGGGTTTCATCTGTAGCGCTATGAGACAGTATCACACTCACCCTGTTGGAGAATTTGGCGCCGCGGTAGTTACGCTGTGATAGATTGAAGACAGTGTAGTGGTCGGCATGACGACTGTCGAGGAAGGAGCGGATGTCCTCTACATGGTTCTGGTAGCCGATCTGCACCGACTCCGCTGGGTAGGACATCACTGAAGATAAAATACATCATTCAGCTGCTGGATGTTTTGAAGAGTTCTATACACTGTTGGTGCAGATGTTTACATACACGGCTTCCTCCATCTTTTATCCGTCTTTACAATTATTCTGCAATAAGTGAATTGAAATTTGAAATGTGAAGAGTGGGTCTAGATTCAAGCATGACCGTCAGCCGCTGCACACGAAGCATTGTGGGATAGAAGCCCTCAGGGGACAAATGTCCAGCTGACTATGTTCTTTAAAGGACACACTGCTGCTTCACACTCATGAGCATGTGAAGCTGCAGGAGATGTGAGAATGAGAGATGAGTACAGAGGGAACGCTGACGGTGAAGTTGTCTATTTATCTAAATGTGTTCATGCTTGTGTATGTTAATACCGTCTAAGGATCAGACATGAACCATTATTCTCCTGTATCATGCAGATAAAACACACTTTTACCTTCTCATCTGTTCTCTACATTGTTCTGTTTCCTAATCAGCTTCTTACTCTGACAATTGGGATTTTGCATGAACACACAATTTTTCATGTATTTTCATGAACCAATCGGGATTTAGAAACACATTGATATCAGTCATATGATAGATGTTGGGTTGTTTAGTCACTGTCAAACAAATATAATCAGACCAAACCAACACAGTCCTAAATCAAGCGGATTATGGGATGCATTTGTGTGTTAAATTCTTAATAAATAATAACTCAACAAATGTTTGTATTTTGAATGTTGCTTATTTAGTCATGGGTGACGTTATAGAGCAGTGGTCTTCAACAGGGGGTCCGCGACCCCTAGGGGGTCCACGGAGGTACTGCAGGGGGTCCGTGAAATTTTTGGTTGATTAGACAATTTTTTATTTTTTTCCAAACATGAATCTGTCCATTATTTTAATAGTTCAGTATTGTAACAGGTATGTTTATGCATGGCAGTGGCACTAATAGGCCATCACTCATTTTCGTTTACACATTTATGTTTAAAATGAAAACATCAGTTTGAATATCTTGTATGAAGGATTATCATGCAACTGACAGACAATGTTGATATTGGCATTGGTATCAGTTGACAAGGTATGTTTATAAATGGCAGTGGCACGGCCTCCCTACTCACTGTACCTTGCACATGTATGAATATATGAACCTGTGTATTATTTGAATAGCTCAATAAAGAGGTATGTTTATACATGGCACTAGGCCCATTTTAATATAAAACACAATTTTATACAATATATATAGTCGGGGGTCCCTGCTCCATCTCTCTATCAGTTTGGGTGTCCTTGGCCTGAAAAATGTTGAAGACCCCTGTTATAGAGAATCACTTATGATTTGAACTTTCAGGGCGTTTAAAATGCAGCTTTTTTAATTGTGAGCTTTGAACACGGATTCATTATTTCTGGAGACAATGTTAGAAGGCATCTACACACACAGCTCACACATGCACACAAAGTCCAGTAGCTGCAACCAAACGTGTTTACCTATGATCCGAGATGTGATGTAGGCAATATCCAGCTCCCCTTTAGTGTACCTGTAACAAGGAAAGATTTTTTTAATAATACTTTTCCATGCAATTCTCATGACTCTGAGAGAAGTAAAAGAGAATTACAATCAATAGCTATGTCGACCTTCAGCAATATTTCAACCACAGCGGATGTGATTGAGTCAACAATGTGCACAGTATTTGTGAAACCAAACACCCTTGCTCTGTGTTGTATTACAGGTGTTATACAGGAGGCCCGTGTGTTGATGGTTTCAGACAAAGTAAACATTTAGACAAGAGAGTCAAAAGATGCCCTGTTCTTGAAAAATATCAGATCATTAAAAAGAGAAGATCAATGCATGACCAGCATCCAAAAGGTTGATTCATCTGCCTCCAGCTGTCAGTGCATCAGGCTGCATGTCGTGCATAGCCAAGTAATTAGACTCAACAGGCTTTGGAGCAGAAGCTTCCGCGTGTCTGGCTTTGGGGAAGTTGTCTTTTTCAGGCTCACCACACTAGGTTGATCTGCCCGGGATCAAAGGAATACCATATGTGAATTCTTCAATTGAGCGTCATTGCCTTTCATTGCTAAATTTAGCTATTCCATATGGAGTTTTTTTCAAAACTGTGAGAGCAGCTGGGGTGCACACACATGCACGTAATCCACTACGCACCATGGAAGTGAAGGAAAACAGTGCATATGAAATGAAACACTATGAAGCAGGTGCAGATTTGAGTGTAATTTGTTGTAACAGACTCGCTAAACTTCTTATTTCTTGTATTTGAAGATTAATTTATAAAAATGTTTTTATCCAACAGCGGCACGTGGATCAAATTCTCACTGCACTGCACTACGACATTAGTACTCTAATGTGCATCAGATTGAGTTGACTTGTTCCCTATAGTGAAAATCCTGATCTAGGCCAATCACCTCTGTGTGGTCATGGAGGAGTGCCATATGGCCCTAATGCAATCCTTGACCTGGTTACGTAAGGCAGTGCTACTCAACTAGTCTGCTGTGGAGCGAGAGCACGCTAAGTGTGTCTTGGGATTTTATAGTGTTCCACATGAAGACATTTCTGGATATTATGATTCATCTTACATCATCATACATCTCAATTCCAAAAAAAAGCATTGCATTGTTTCAGGACATAGACAACTGCTGGTAAAACAGACAAACAACCCAAGTTAAATCTATCAGAGCTGTTGCGTCTGTAAGCCCTCCATAATGAAGTAATTGGACTACAGTTTCGGGTTTCTATTTTCATCCACTTCTGTGTGTTTATCCCTGAGTGAAAATGCAGACTGCAGGTTTCATACATTGTCATGAAAGGTGCATATCTGCACTCCTGTATACTATTCAAGCCAGTATGTAAATAACCTTTCTTGACCTTATTTAGGTTGCTAGAGCACATATTGTTTATTACCCTGGGGTAAAAATAGAGGAATGTTTGAACAAACCATTTGATCTTGTCCTTTGTTTTTATCCAGGAAATATATTCCACAAATCTGCTGTTATCCCTGCTTCTCTCCTGAAATAGCTTGTTGGTTATTAAAGGAGGGAAGTAGGTCAGGTGTCAGGTTTAAATGGCCATGGCCAATAGCCATAGACTATGCAAATGAGCAGTCTCCCTGACCTCTTGAGGTTCGAGCTGCAGCCAATTAAAATGTACTGCAAGGTGTGGTGCAGAGAATGAATAGACGAAGAAGGACACAACTGGAAAGAAGGGCAAAGCTGACACTGGGGACTTTTTATTGTTTATGCTAATCAAGCTCAATAGCTGTCTGGGGCTAATATGTTTCTAACAGCAGCAGTTAATTAATGTTGGGCTAACTGTTATGTGTTTGACTCGTTTTAATTTACTGTTGCATATGTGTTAATTTACTGGCATGAGGGAATATATGACTTTACTTCTCTTGTTACTGCACTTATTCATTTTACAATAGACTACCTTTGGTCAAACTCTCTTGTTTAAGGTATCTCATCTTTGTTCTCATTTTTAATCACTATGATTCAATTTGTTCTCCAATACTGTTTTCACAGTTTTGCTATTGCTTTCAGTCCAACTTCTGTCTTTAACCTTTATTGAAAGTGTGTTTATCTCGCAGCATAACAGTGTAATTACAGGCACAGTGAGGGCAGAAGAGTGAGACAACAAACACACACACATGTGATACCCACAAGAGCCAACACCACAGTGCCTGTCGTTTATATTTCCTACTGGAAAGTAAACATCAGGAGCACGAAAGCCATTTTAGGCTTCATTACAGTAGTGGAGAAGTGCTCTAACTGAGTCCCCAGTGACTAAACACACACACACACACACACTTGGGCTGGATCCTGATGGATATTAGATCTGAGTTTTCTACATACCCTCCATGCTTCTCTCCAAAATGTAATTCTTTACAGCCTTTTTGTCTTTTTCAACAGCATTGTTATATGTACATCAAAATGCATGTTTTAAAGTAGAGACTGGCAACCAATTAAAAGCTACCAGCAAGGCACTGATCATAAAATGTATGCACTGCTACCCACTGACCCCAGGGTCTGACACACAGGACACTATACCTGATTGATTTTTTTCATCACATTTCTCTGGTTTGATGCTATGATTCATTAGCTTGGGCCACTGGAAAAAGTGAGGAAAAAATGTGTGGGGTAGAGAAATAATTACGGCGCGACAAAGAGAGATGCCAACAGAGTGTTGAAACGGGGACAGATGAGAAATAAAAATAAGGCTCAATGGCAGTGGTCCAGACTGATCTGGACCACTGCCATTGAGTTTCTCACAGACGGAGGAACACACAGCTGAGCGTTACTGACAGATTATTTTCCCTGCAAAAATTCTCTTCAGCCAGGTAAACATTCAAGCAGGCTGCGTTAAATAATTCAGCAACAGCCTTTTGCCTGGAATATAGATAAGAGGCGGAGAGGAACCAATGAAGGTTGGGGTGTTAAAAGAGGGCCTTGTAACTGAGCTCAGAGGGGTTTTGCCTTGTATCAAGCAAGCTCTTCTATTGAAGTCTTCCAACAGTCAAACTGGGATGAAACAGTCTGTTTAAGATACACATGCTCCACCTCTGGCAGAAAGTATAGACCTTCAAGCTTAAAAAATAAATCAACTATATATAAAAGCAGATCATCGTGTAATCGAGAGAAATTTCTACCAATGAGGTAAACAAAGATTACAAAAGATTTCTTGAAACTAGAATAGAAATCAGGCCACCACAAAACAATATCTGATCGTAAAGATAGTAGGAAAAAATAGAAGAAGAAAAAAAGGTTTCGGAGATAATACTCTCCTGTTTCTTTATGGCTGACTCAAACCTGCTTTTTTTTGTTTTTTTTGCCCACTTTGAAGCAGCGCAAAAAGCTAAAAACACAACATTGACAAAATATTACGTATGAAGGTTATATGGTGAGCTAACAGTTGCCTATTTACACATTCAGCAGTATACAGTAGAGCAACACTATAATACATTTACAGTCCACCCGATGAAGTCCAATCATTGAGCTCTGTTTTGTGTCCACACACCTCTAGGGAAATGATCTGGCTCTTTAGCTGTTAGATGCTCCACTATGTTCACCAGCTGGTCGCTAACTGTGCTGTCTGCTGTTTGGTGCTGAGCAGGATGTGCACAGTGGTTTGAAACCAGGTTGATGAGAGCAGTGAGGTGAATCAAAACAGTAAAGTTGTGGACTGATCAAGAGATCAATAGCAGTTACCTTAAAACAGGTTTAATGATCTCAAGCAAATGGTGCTTGAAACAATTATTTATTTTAGATAAGATAGACTAAAATAAGATATTATCACTTCCTTGAATTGATGTTATGATTAATATATTTTGAACAATGGACAAGAGATGCAAATTGCTATTTAGTGGAGAAATATTTACAGAGAGACAAAGAGACAAGTTTACTGTTCATGATTTTTGGGACAAAAATGAAAATTAGTGAGAGGGGAAAAACAGTGAAAAAGAGAGAGAGAGAGCAGCCTCCTTTGCAGGGTAGAGAGCAGCGGACCTCTCAAGAATACATCATTAGATTCTGCAGCTCGTTATCAAATCTCTCTAATTAACTGCTGACTTTGTCTCCAAGTTTTATGGAAAAAAACAGGGAAACCACCAATGGTAGTCAATGGGCAGGACCCAGAAAACCATGCTACTCTATCTATATAATCCTGTCAGTATGCTTGGAACTGCTCTGTAGATCTACTATATTGTCTGTTGTATAGCTCAGTTCACAAGATGTTTGTTTATTTATTTACAAGGGCAATAAACCATAGAGTGCACCGTCAACTTTGGAAAACCACTTGTGTTGTCAGAGTCATCTTTTCTGTCCTTCCATCTCTAAATAAAGATATTAAATGTAAGGCAGACAACAGCACAGTTAACTCTCCAGTGTGTCAGATCACAGGGGGATAGCTTATGTTGACACTTGTCATGGCATCATCAAAGAAACCTGTCTAAGCTGTTTTAAAGTGTACTGCACTAAAGTGTGGCACATTATTGTACCTCTACCTTTCCTTTCCAAAGGCTTTTAGCCGGTTGCCACAGTAGCCTGCCTCCCACCGCCCCATTATCCAAACCACCCACTCACACATACATATAAGTCAACACACAAAACACACACCACCACCACACACAGGGCCCCAATGAAATGAATCCTTCTGTATCAGCAGTGCACTGGCGATTTGGCACATTGAACTGCCATGAATAATTCAGCCAGGAGAGGAGACGGCAAAGAGAGGAGAGGAGATAGAGGGAAGGTGGAGCTGAGATGAGGGGTAAGAGGCAGCCGAAAAAAACACCACGGGAACGACATGGACAGGAGAGTGGGAGTTTGCCAAGATGTGAGCAGCAGAGGAGCAGAGACACAACGATCAAACGTGCTGAGTCAATAGTGAGAGGGGAGCTGTGTGTGTTTCTGACAATACAGAGGCCCCTTTGTGCTGCCCTGTGCAGATGCCTGTGCACAAACACACTGGGACGACCGAGCCGTGCCAGACTCTGCTGCCTCCCTCTTTTCTCCCTCCATCCACAACGCTCTGTTTCTCCTCTAAAGCTGTTGGACACTTACTTTGCATCGTAATCAGTCGCTGAAACAACATTCAATTACTAATAGCTACATTTGATATTTAGATGAACATGAGCAAAATCCAACTGTGTGACCAGGTCTGTGCAGTGTGATTCATGTTGTCGTGAAACTGTTTTGCTTTACGTTATAAACTGCTCTAAATTCTATAATATCACACTGTGGGTCCAATAAAGTCGTTATGTCAGACTACACAATATCAGTAGTGAGCATTTCAGAGGCAATGCATGCCTGTTATTCAACAATGTAATTATAAAAAACAGACGACATGTCATACATATACTTTCTAACCCACATTGCTGGTAATAGCACTAGCACCGGCAGCAGGCAATGAGGCAATGTCAACCTGTGTCGTTTGTCCTCTAAGATTGTCCTGATTAATTTGAAAAGGTGAGGGTGTGAAAGGACGGAGATCGTGACCAGATTGTATTTATCTGAAGAAAGAAAGGGAATAGGGAGGCAGAGGCTGAAGGAAAAGAACACAATAGTACAGCACATCATGTGTATGAATGCAGCGCTAACTTACGTGGCAACCTGATGCATGACCTTGGTGGAGGTGTCTTTCAGCGTGTCCTTCAAGTTATCTTTGAAGTTGCTGAAGAACTTCCCAGCTCCTCCCTTCACCATATCCAACAGTCCTCCGCCATAGTTGGCATCCATATCTGGGGACAGAGGACCATTAGCCAGTCAGAATCCGGAGGGAAACAAAATATACATTGTACACAGATGCAGACACACTAAGGATGTAAATGTACAGATGTCTTTCAAGAATCTATACATTACTATATAAATAAACATGATCCTTCAATTACAAAGTGGAGTTTAGAGGTTTTCGTTTGACTCAAGTGATGAACATATGAGTCACTGCCCAACACACCAAGTAAATACATGTGTAGCTGTAAAGGAATGAGGGACAAGGACACACAATACAATGCATACCATCTGGAGCTGTGCATGTGTTGGAACAGACCCAAGTGCCATATCTTAGTCAGCAACCCTTTGGTGATTGGAGATTTTCTCTCTCTGTCTCTTTCTCTCTCTCTCCCTCCCTGTCATATACGATACACATAGCAACCACAGTGGCATCAGTGAGGTGTAACTTGGCAGTGCTGACAAATCTACAGACATTAAACAGCTGTTGGCTCAGATGGGGTTTGGGTTTGGTTATTTCCTAATATAATCAAAAAAGAAGTCTTGATTGTCCATTTGTGTAAAAGCAGGATATTTAGTGCCAAACAGGAAAAAATAAAGAGACACAGTCTGTGTGTTGCATTAGCTTGGAAAGCTAAAGCCTGATTTATAATCAATGTATTTGTGATCCGGCTGTAGCGTGCTCTATTCCACACAGAAACTGTGTTTACTTTATTTCATTTACTTTGTAAATGAAATAACTTTGTAAATGAAAATAACAAAGCAAATTAACTTTGTAAATTAAATCTGGTCTGATCTGGTTTAAGACCTCTCCTGCATATGAAACTGTTCAATTTTTTCAGCTTGTGTCATGTTGTTTGCACTATCAACAATCTCTATTTGCATCAGAAACATGCAATCCATGCTCACCATAGTGTCTCTTTAGCATACCTATTAGCTACATTGGCTATGTGCGTAGGCCTCACTGATCACCCTCAACCCTTAACACACAACTGTAAATAAAGCTAAGTAATAGGAGCAAAATCTTGTTGAAAGGAAGCTTCTCAGAATCCCTAATTATCCATAAGAAAGCTTCTTCATTGTGATAACATTATGACCTTGTGTCTGTGACACCTGTTCTGGCTGTATTACTCTTTGAAATGTGAAAAGTTCAGCTGGGAAAAAAGTTGTGAGTTGGAAATAAAAAAAACATCATCCAGCCATTACTGGGAAGAGGTGAAGTTGAGCATTCTATCATGGTGAGGCATATGGTTCCTATTGATCAGACAGTATAGTGTCATCAGCTGGTAGTTGGCTGCAATTTGTGGGTTGGTATTGCCACTAAAAACATAACCTAAGAGGAATAACTAATTGGCTATTCCAGGCCACACTTGCTTTATGCTGCTTGGCTGCTGTGCCTTAGTGCGGACCTATCAGTTATATTATGTGCCACTTCCAGATTAGCTGTTCTTCATAGTGAGAAAGCCATTTAGTGTGTCCAAATCAAGCATATCTCTTTCTCTTTGGTGTCGAAATTACCAAATTATAACGTTGGGTCTATCTTGTGTTTTATGGATGTGGGTGAAGGCCAGGGACAGGTCTCCGGTCCCAGTCCATGCCGTACAAAGTATCTCATCTCTGACCGCATAGGCCTGAAATATATGACACTGATCTATTTTTTCTGAAAAATAAAGTCCCTGCTTAACTCATCAGATCCACAGAAAGTTCCAGAACTCAAATGTAACTTTGCCCGTGGCAATTAAAATGACCACTGTTAACTGAATGGGCACTCACAGCGTGGCTGTAGTGTAGTAAGGGCTGCAGAAAGGTTTAATACAGTACCTCAAAAATAATACGTAAGTCATCAGTGTCTGGCCTTTAGACTTCAAAACAGGAAACCTATTTTATGAAAGATAGTATGCATTTACCAGACAGGGACAATCTAAAGTGAGCTATTGCATTATGTGAATTTTAGAATCCAGTGTTTTTGGAGTTTGACCCATTCTTCCGTACTATATAGTCTAAAAGTCAAGATATCTGCAGCTTTTGTTACTCCAACTTAACAAAAGTACAGTACTAAATCAATTAAGTAATGCTTTGACTCGTATACATTAAAAGGTATTACTCTAAATACAAATAGCCTTATTTTCATATCAATAATAGTGTTTTTTTTTTATTGTTTATAGATTAAGATCTGAAAGGGCATCTTTAATCTTGGGGAAAGTCAAATAGCACATAGAACAACTGGTCGGTAATGACTAGAGCTCTGGCAGTAGATGATCCTGCAAGTCCTGCAATAAAGCCAAATGTTGACACATAACACACCACACGCTTTTATCTGCTGACTGTCAGCACCTACTGACCCAGACTGGAACAGACCCAGTCACACTTGGTTGTCATGTCCAAATCATTTTCATTATCTGCTCAGTGTGTCCTTGTCTTTAGCCCAAGGCGATAAAGAATTCTCACTACACCACTAAAACTGGAGTTCTGGGGTTTTCAATTGACACAAGTAAGGAAGCACAATATATAAAGGACTAAAAAATAATTAAAGACTAGTACTGCACCACTGACATTATCACATCTGTGCCTGCATCATTTCATCTTTCATCTATCTGAGGAGCAGAGCGTGTTAAATAAAGGAAGAAAGAAAGAGAAGATAACAATCAAAAAAGCTGAGCTCCCAAATAAAATCCATGTTCTTTGTTTTCTAATGCCTAACCCTGTTAAATCTACTGCTGACTGAATTTAACTTCTTAATCATTTAATTTGTTGATTGCATCCAGAGCTAATGCCATACAATCACAATTTAACCTTCATTTGCCAAGGGTTAGATTAGTAGATCAATACCACTCTCATGTCTGTACACTAATATGAAGCTACGGCCAGCAGCTGTGTAATTAGCTACTTAACACGTTATCTGTTGTTTGTTTATTCCATACAAGAATGTAAGGATAGTCTGAAGGCTTATTTTGTTGTCTTTGGACAGAGGCAGCCTAGATGCTTCCCCTGGTTCCAGTCGTAATGCTAAGCTAAGCTAAGCATTTGCTGATTATAGTTTCATTAAAGTGGTCTCAATCTTCTCCTGTAACTCTCTGAAGGAAGGGAGTAAGCATATTTCTCAAAATGTTGAACTGTTCCTTTAATATGGCAGCCATATTGAGCATGTCTATGCTGAGGGATGCAAACTGAAATGCTTCCCTTGCATTTAGGCTATATATATATATATGTTTTGGTCTATGTTTAACCTCCTTACTGTGCAAATTTCCCAGTGAGCATGACAGAATGTATTAGAAATGTATTAGGAAAACTCTGCCTTGAAATCAAGAGCTATGTGAGCTTGACCTGGATCTGCCAATCATGTTCAGATACCGGCAAAGGTAAAGAAGTATGTTATGATGAAGGAACAAACGTGCTTTAAATAAATCTCACTACCGAGAGAGCAAAAAACAGGACCAGGCCAAAAGCTTACCCCTCCTCCCTACTCGACCGCCTCCTATCGCTTTCACCAGTCGACCAATAGAAAGAGGGGGGGGAGAGAGAGAGAGAGAGAGAGAGAGAGAGAGAGAGAGAGAGAGAGAGAGAGAGAGAGAGAGAGAAAGAGATGACTGAGGGAGAGGAAAAGAGAAAGACTGTTCTCGTTATGTCCAGAGGGATCAGTGGGCTATCTGAATTTGTCTCCCTCCTCCTACAGCCCCGAACATTTCTCCTTCAATATCCAGCTTGGTGTGAATGGCACAGATGGATACAAGCACACAACAATAAAGCTTGACAAGCAAACGCACTGCGCTACACCCGAATCTCAGGGCTAATACACTGTGCCGGGCCGTGTTGTGTCACTGTGTGTGACTGTGGCGTCCACCCGGGACTCTAATCTGCTTAGTTATAGATGCTGCTGATGCGACAAGGAGCGTATGATTAAGCATCTACTATACAGCTTAACCAGAGGAGAATCCCACTGCTTTTAATGGCAAGCAAGCTCTTTGCAGGCATGAAACGTTGGTAAAAGATGTGTCAAGCTGCAGGTGCGAGCTGACGGTTTAATAGTCAAACATAATTTTGCATAAAGGTCTGAAATTCTTAACTACCTTTTTACCTTCACATTGATTTTAAAATGCTTGACCTAGACCTAGTGGACAAGTGGCTTGCTTTTTGGTGACCCCTTGCTTGTGATCCCTACTCAAAGGTTGTGAGATTGTTTTATTAGAATATCTGTTAGATACACACATAAATACCTGCAGTCCTGTTGCCAAAGCGATGGATTTAAACCTTTTTTAATGAGTGACCTATATTTGATCATCTCTAAACAATATCAAACGCTATTTTAGCTCCTATTTAGATTTGTTTATTTCCTATTTATCGTCCAACTGGGTCTACTATGCCATGTCATCTGCTCGTGCCGTTTCCCATCATGAGTATGATGCTGTATAAATCAATGACAGCGTGAATGAATACCTTTACTAGTTAAATTTCTGCTCTCCAGTATATTATGTGCTTTGCCTCTATTTTATTTTGTATCTACTTCTCTGCATGTAGCTTAGCTGGTATGTGCCTCTCTGTTTGTGGCCAGATGGATGTGGGAGTGTGCAGACACGTGAGGCGGTTACAGTGACCAACCTTGCTAATACAGACACCAGGGGGAGGCTCTGATACAGGCTCCATCAGCAAACACAGCAGCAGCAGAGAGCCAAGCAACTCACAGTTAGAGAGAGCGGGACATCAACAGAATAAAGAGCTCTCAGCATTGCCAGAGAGAGATCAATGAACGTGTCTCCCTTCTTCTTGAGTGCCAACCTTTACCCCTCAGTATCAGGCTGTGCGTGAATGAGACAGATGGATACATAGACACACACAGACAGAGACAGGCACACACGTGCATGAAAGAGAGCATCCATGAGGCCTGGCAGACCAGACAGACATCTGACACTGGAGCCCCCACCTCCTCCTCCACCCACCCTATCACCACCAACCCCAGTCCCCTTTCCTCATTGACCCTTCTCATCCAGCTTGTTTTGTTTCACACAAATGTCCATCCTTGTGGGCTGGCTGACTCCACAGAGCACTGCAGTGAGGCTCGACAGACTTTAACTTCAAATGTCCAAAGTAACACTTTCCTATTTGCCTGCATTTATTGCAAATACTATAATTATTGCTAATATGATGTAATATTAGCAGTAACAGTTGTAGTAGTGCTAATGTTACTGGACTACTGTCATTTTTACTGGAAGTTGCACAGGGCTTTATGATAAAAACAGAAAAAAATGTAAAAACACAGATGATGCACAAACACTGACTTGGCTGTTCACATGTGAAACACTTAAATAAGTTATGGAGTTGAAGCTGAGAGATCAAAAAATAAACGCTTGTAGCATTTATTTTCTTCCTCCTACTATTCATTGTACACCTTATTTAAAATAAATGTAAATAAAGATGTTACTTGAAACTATATAGACGCTCATATTGTGGTGATGATGATTTATTAATTCATTTATGTTTGATAAATAGTGGCATCTTTTAACCCCCTTTTGGATGGGCGTAGTGTTTATCATGACACATAAATACAAACTAACTAAGTGGCAAATAGTAGTTACAGTTATAACAGTAGTTGTAGTATCAATGTAGCAATGGTCTGAATAGCAATAGTGACTTTATTCTTCTCAAGAGGTTTTTTTACAGATGAAAGAATTGATCTCATTGAGGAATGATGTGTCAAAACAAATGAGCTATTATAACTGAATCCAATAAGCCGTGTAGGTGATTTACCAGGAGATAAATGATAAATGATTTTAGTTTTAATTGGATACATTGGCCTTATAATCCATCATATGCGGCCAGTTGACTAAACTTGTACTGAGAGTATTTTGTGTTTCCTCTGACTAAAACTGAAGCAGGATATATTCTCTTTTATTGTCTTAACTGCTGACATATGAGATTACTAGTGCAGTTATTGATATACAATTTCAAATTTAAAGCCCATATGAAAAAGTAAATAGGCTATGAAATGTGGTTATCATGATATATAATACTGAAACTTTGGCTGAAAAATGAGTTTGTATATGCTTTCATATGTATTTTAATACATTATGGACACTAGAAAGTATTATGTGCTAATAAACATGCAGATTTAAAAAAATATATATGAGCATTCATTCAAAGACTTTTTGATACTTTACAAGACATACAGTAGGATTTAGATCTAGTCTGAACTGTATATTAAATAAATTGGTACTGGTCACCTTATGAGAAGATGTCCACTATGAGCCCTGGAGGGGGTTCCAGGAGGTGCATAGCATATTCTTTCACTGTTGTCAGCCATTGTGTTGCCCACTGCTAAACCCTTACACCAGGACAGTTACAGGCCACGTTAATACTGCGTAAAGTCATCACATGATACCCAAGCGCTCTCCACGTTAGAGTACAATCCCCATCCACGTTCCCGAAGGCGGCGAGGACTCTTACCTGAGCTGTCCATGGTGCTGCAGTCCTCCTCTCTCAGTGGGCCCGCCTTCGGTCCGAGGGTGGCCGCTATGGAGCCTGCGAGTGTGGCGCTGCCGCCGCTGCTACCGCTGCTGCTGCTGCTGCTGCTCCCTCTGCCGACACTGAAGCTATCTCCGCCGCTATCGACCAACTGCAAAGATTCATAGCCATCGTAAATAGTCTTTTTCTTGTAGGCCCCCAGCAAGCTCATTACCGAAGCACACAAGAAAAGGAAAAAAATTTAAGACAAAAGAAGCTCCAAAGACGTAGGCTACGCCGCGCCGTCACCGCCACCACCGCTGCTGCTACTACTACTGGTGCTGCTGGGTGCACCACATGTCCGAGCAGGAGAGGACGACCCTCCTTTCTCCTCTGTTTTCTGGGGAGAGAAATATGTTGCCGCTCTCTCTCTATCTCTCTCTCTTCTCTCTCTCTCCCTCCCTCTCTCCTCTCTCTCCCTCTCCCTCGCTCTCTCCCTCTCTCTCTCTTTGCTTCCTCTTTTCTCAGCAGCACCGCATTTTACTACGCTTCTGTTGCTGCTGCTTGCTGTCGCTGTAGTCCACCCCAACTCACGATCCTCTCATGTTATTGCTGCATGCATCTATTATTCACATACTGAAATCAGTAGCTGTGAACGCCTATAGGCTTCTTTTTCACATGTGATGTCATAACATTTTGTGAACAATGTAGTTCCTATTCTGGGTGGATTTTCCTTGAATGGCTTTAAAGGCTTCTAGCCAATTATGAGTCCTATGGGATATAGGCGATATTGTGTGTAAACCCTAGGCTTCAAAAATTATTTTCATTATCAATTGATCTTACAATTAAGCTATTTTCTTAATTAATTGAAATGTTAGAAAATAATGGCCATCACAATGTCCCAGAGTTCAGGTCTTTAAATTTCTCATTTTATCCTATCAAAAACAATATTCAATTTACAGTGATATAATACAGAGACAAGCAGAAACGACTGACTGGTAACAGCAAATATTTGAAGTTTTAGCTTTAAAAGTGACACGAATGATTTATCGGATATCAAAATAGCTGCCCAAGTAACTGCTCTACTTAAATGCATGACAGATGCGGTGATAATGTTTAAAGTGTGCTAAAAATATCAGAGTCATCCACTAGAATAACAGAAGTCCTCAGGGAGAAATTGTAAAGAAAAATAAATCTATAGTTATTTATATGACCTGTTTTCTTTGGTATAAATAAGGAGCATTTGGTAAAAATTGTGAGTCTGAGCCCATAAAAGAGCTAATTTCTTATTTGGGTCCTTTGCTGAAGAGGACCCCTGGCCTTGTCATAATAAAAGATCAAACGAGAGGAGTTGAGTAGTCAGCATTGCATGACAACAGCACCATGCTTTGTAAGAAAAAGGAAACTCTCTCTGCATCAAGGGGAATTTTTTCTCAGTACTCGACTAATAGCTGCTGAATATTAATAGGCTCTTTTTAATATAATTAAAAGCCAAACGATTGGTGATTTTAGCTCTAAATTTGTTTTTCATGCCCCAATTTTTTTGTGCAATGAGCCTGGATCCATGAAGGACAGAACATTGACCGCTGATGGCATGCTTCCTTCCTTGGCCTTGTCCCCTGGCAACGGAAACCCTGTATGTTTCTGAAAAGAGGACATGAGCCTGGGAAACTCTTTTAGCAGAGCAGACGGGAGCTCAAAGCACAGCAGGAACGGAATGTCCAAAAGGGAGGAAAGATACCCCCACCATCACCGGACACGCAGTGCTGCTGCTCGCATTGTTGCCATGGAGCTTCCTGTCCTAACTGTGAACCAATGTTTACCCCTTGATGTCCTTGTATGCGTGTGACTGTTTAGGATACAGCAAGCAGGTGTAGTAAGGACGTCACAATTTGTGCCACGATCAAAGGTTTGCACACAAAGGCAAGTCCAAACCCAATCAAAAACCTAAATAGAGCTGAAACAATTCATTGTTTGGTGCATGGATGGAAACTTAACGATTTGGTTATTTGTTAAATCATTTCAGTCATTTTTCAAGCAAAATTGCCAAATAATCCCTATACAGCTTCTACAATGTGAAGAGTTGCTGCTTATCTTTGTCCTATATCATAGTAAACTGAATATCTTTGGGTTTTGGACTGTTGGTCAGACAAAACAAGCAATGTGAATATGTCACCATGGATTCTGGGAAATTATAATGAGCATATTTTACTGTTTTTCATATTATTTTATTGAAAAAAATGTAAATTAAATGAAACAATAATCAGCAGAAATCATGAATAAAAATAATGCAGCCCTAACAGAAAATATTTAAAAACATTCCAACTTGAGCAGCATTGCAGACTTTGCATATAAAAGCTTATAGAGTTATATTTTGGCCTTTGTCAGACCTCTTATGTCTCTTTTTCCAAATGTACTAACAACATTTAGAGGCATTGTATTCCAGTTCAACCCATATGTGTGTGGGGCAACCATTGCGTATGGGCAACGGGCTCACAACAATAAGTAAATGCCCACAACAAAGCTGGTATACAGCGCCTGCATTAATGACCTAAGTGATATCAGAGGCGCTGTAAGACAGGTTTTCAGTCACAAATCTGCTTCTCATGCTCCTTGTATTTTGAGTAATGATTCCGGTTGAGGCATTCATTTACATACCTCTCATACGAATTGTTAAAAAGCCTTCAGATGCAATGCTCAGTAACATTTCAGCTGTTTTACGACATTGCTGTGATACTGACTGTGGCCTCGTATCTCCTCATTGGTTTTTACCATCAGTCTCAAGGATACATTGAGGATTAATGATTATCCCCTTCACAGTTAAAGTAGAATCCAGGAACCTGCTGGATCAGCTGCAAGACTCAATTGACAAGACAGACGATGGACTTGAATTTGTGAGACTTTAAATTTTGTAATCCAAGGATTCTTGTTCTGTGTGGTAAAAACTGAAACATAAAAGATGATAAAAGAGCACTGGCTGCTACTTGTCTTCATAGAGGAACAATGGCATCCATGCTGCCCTGCCATCATCCAAGTTCTAATCCTGTGTTGATCAGTACATTTGCTCAAGTACTATACTTACAATTTTGAGGTAATTGTACTTTAAGGGAGTATTCAAATATTCCGCTACTTTGTACTACTCCATTACAATTCATAGTTAAATATTGTAGCCTACTTTTTATTCCACTACATTTATTTGATAATTATAGTTGATTGATTAGATTAAGATTACTAATACCCCAGGGGGAAATTCACAATCTTCCCAGCAGTATGAAAAGTAATTAAAATGATCTCCACCTTTACCAGCTGCAACATTAAAGTGCATCAATAATTATAATCCAATTCTACCATATACATGATTCTGAAAATGGCCATACTGGATAATGAGTAGTTTTGTTAGGCTACTTTATGTATATTTTAATGCTAATAATTCTGTACTTGTAGTCAAAAATGAAGTAGAGTAGAGGGAGGGTACCTTTCTTGGTCCTGGGGGTAGTTATACTTTGATACTTTGATTTTAGATTATTGCAGAAAATAAGCTCTCTGGCAAACACAAGTTTATGATTATACATTTTGTTCTGCAATAAAATCCTCACAAATAGAGAGCGCTTTTATGATTTTTCAAGGGTGAATGCAGTCGGCAGAAGTAAAAAGCGAACTTTGTGCTGTAAATGAACTACACCATGGTCACATGAGTAGGCCTATACACAATGAGGCTGTGAAGGCGGACTGGTCTGCGTGATGATGTTCAGCCACTTGTTAGCAACTGCCTTTTTTCCAGAAACTTAAAAGCTTAAAAATTGATGAGAGGGGCATCTACCGATGAATATATCTTTGAACAAAACGTTGAAATCTCTTAAGTTTGTGTTAACCAAAGAACTTATTTCAGGCATCTAAGCAAAAACCCATTAAAAAAAACCTATTGACTTCGAGATGAGGGAAATGGAGGTGCAAATATGCTAACTCATTTATGTGATATTATGAATCCCACATGCTCTTCACAATTACACTTGACCTTTACCTAAAAATAAATTTAAAAAATGATGAGTTTCCATCTGACTTGTCATTTTTTAGTAGGTGAATAGGGGGACTAAATGAGCGATGATCAGAGCATGAAACCACACCAAGCTGCGTTAAGATGCTCACGTGACGGTGGTGTGACGTGATGAGAGAGGAGCTGTCCTCGCAATATGAGCCACCCCGAAATGATGAAGATTGTGATTCAGATAATACTGATAATCAAGATATAAGAGATATCGATCACGTCCAAATGCCCATAATACCGAGAAGACTTTGTTTAAAAAATATATATTTATCCTCTTTAAATCGATTTGCGCACAGGGTGCCGGTGCATGAAATGTCGTTAGCCTACCGTCATCAGCTGACAGAAAAATCCATCTGATATCAAAGCGGCAAACGTCACCGTTAAATCAATCTAGTCATTTATTAAAAGGATAAAGCGACAGTAGGCTATGCATAGCCACGACTGTCACAGAGAAAAAAAATGACTCATTAAACGTGAAACAATTGACACCTGCTGAACCAAAAATAACCCAACTGATGTCATTTATGATGCTCGTGTGCGCCACAAAGGCCCTGAGTTTGTGATTTAGGATAATTATGTCCCACTAAAGTGAGAACAAACGTAGAACCCTGTTAACAGAACAAGTGCATGTTGGTGCTAAAACCTCTGTCCACCGAGCGGAGAGGTGGGGGGGGGGGTAGTGGTTTGGATATCCAGAGGCAGCCTGATATTATGTAACATACACACACACACACACACACACACACACACACACAGTATGATGCTCTCTCCTCTTTTTTTTTTTGCCTGGTTAGAGACGTAGGCCACGACACACGTCTCTTCAATCACATCAAATGAACAGAAACGGATGGCATTACCTTTCAGAGAGCTTTCTTTCATTTCAGTCTTTCCCGGGATCACCGTCTTGTGCCGGTGGAGATGTGCTGGTGGAGATGCGCTTTGAAACCGCGGGCTCCGCTCTCAGGCACCGACCTTTGATTTGTCATTCGCTGCCAGTCAAAGGTCAACGCGTAAAACGTCCTGTGAGACCCACTATCCTGCAAGGATTACCCAGTTAACCAGCTATTGTGACAGAGGCAGCACCAGCTAGGTTACGGCACCATCATCACATTTTGGCATAAAAGCATCAAACAGAGTCCGGCGATGGCGATTGGTAGATCTGTAAATAATGTGGATGAGCGTAAAACGCGGAAGTGCAGGGCAGAGTGGATGTAGAAACTGCGCCGCTCAGCGAGCTTTGCTTGAGCTGCCAGTGTGGCAATACAGCCTGGCAAAACCTGGGATGGATCCCAGAAAACTGGCTGACTGCTTTGACTAGTGCGAATCCCACTGCCTGGTCAATGTGCTGCAGACCGGAGCACATTGAAAAATGAATCAAAGAAAAATGAACTGTGGTAATCTAGAAAATAATACCGGTGATGAGCACCAATAATGAAATAGTTGTCGTGGAGATATTTTTTATCAGGTCACAAAACGACTGAGCACCACTGTCAAACAGCAGAGGTACCCATAACAACATGTGATCATAAGGCGATACAAAAAACTGCAACACCAACTGTGCTGCATTTCAGGGTTTGTACACATGACGTGATTATCTAAATCTGCATCATGGGCAATGCATGCGCAGACTAAAGCGCTGCACCCTCTGTCTAAAGTAAAATGAGACTGTACTGCGTGACAGTGGAGCAAGTTGCGCCAAAGCTCTAATGCACATGGGGTTTATTTACAGGTCTGAGAGGATTAGGCACCACAGTAGGAGATACAGACAGTATTCCTATGTACTCGCATGTATGTGTGTCTGTTTCAGTAGCCTATACGTGTTATACATATTCACCATAGGTTTTGTGTTAAGTGCAAGTTAGCACACCCTCCTCCTGCTAATTCCTGTTTTTCTCACATGATATAAAAGATCAAGGAGCAAAGAGGGGAGGAGCAAAGCCTGTATTTGTATGTTGTGGAAAGAAAGAAAGAAAAAAAGAAGTCTCTCATAACCATAGATTTGAATGACTATTCAGATATTAAAGCTGTGAAAGTACCCTTAGTTTAAACTTGACATCTGAAATACAGAGAGCTTTATAATGCCTAACGTTCATATCATACACTGCCCTCTTGCTTACAGTATGTTCAGACTGAGAAATAGACCTTAGACGCATCTATGAAGAAAACTGTCTGCACCCAACTAAAGAATGAATTAGCTGGTATTCTCCCACAAAATAAGATAATGACATACAAGTACAAGTTAAGTACATGCAAAGACATAGAAGGCAGTCTTGAGAAAATAGTTTTATTATTCTGAGAATGTAACATGTTCGGACAGCGTGGATTGAAAATAAGGAAGAAAAATTCCACAACACTGGTGTTACACAACAGCAGTGGGGTGTGGTCCCATACAACATAACACTTTTACTCCACACCCTTTCATTCAACAACACAGACACCACATGTTGCACTCCCCAACATGAAACCAGTTTAATTCAGATGCTGAGAATGACTCCTCCACCGACAGACTCGTCCCATCCACACTAATCCACAGACATCTAATCCTCTTGTTATTTAGGCAAAAGTATTGCATCTTTATTTGTATCTTTTGTCTGCCATCTAACAGGTCTTCAATCTGTACAACATACAACACCCACTCTTTTTAGTCCATAAGGAAAACAAAAACACTGACACAAGGCGGGTTTGACCTCATAAAAGAAATGATAAAAAATATATTTTTGCATGTGATGGGTTACGTGTATGCTGCTTATTTGCATTTTTTACTATTACAAACCTTTCAGAATACCTCTTAAAAATGCATTTATACATACATTCAATCAGAAAAATATGACCTTTACATACTACATAATGATTCATGCTTCTGAATCATAAAATTGACCTATTACTACAACTTTATTTAGCATTATCTTGAAGTTGAACAAACATTTGTGAACAATAATCAGTGACATTTTGATGATTAAAATCTCTAGGCAACCATATATATATAAAAGATACGTAACCGCATTGAAGGCACTCTATATCCTGTGCATTGGTCCTTATCCCAGCCAGAGGGTGTTTTAGATTTACTGTGAGGGCTTTTAAAATCTTGTGCAAGTCCAGCGCCTGCCTCGTAGATTGTCCTGCATGTTATTAGTTGAAGATTGCATAATATTCTTTAGCATTTCAGTACAAAAGTAAAGAATAGCTGTTTATACAGTGCACAATGTGTTTGTTATTGATGGATATGTTATAGAAACACTGAACCGATAAAGCCAAACAATTAAAAACTGGTCTGCAGGATTGTTGCATTTGGAACAGCAGACTTGTAGGCATTATATACAGTATAGTAAACAAGACTCAAGCCTGCACAACTTTCTAGCAAAAATGTGACCCAAATAATGTCTGTCCGAGATCCATTCTGACTTTTCAGCCGACACAATGCAAAGGTCGGTGGTGAATCTGTGATGATGAACAACGCCTCAGTTAATTGCATATTGGGTAATTTCACTCCAAAACTATATAGAATATAATCATAGAGGCAACATGATAGTTTACTTGATTATGAAAGTGTGATTTAAAGTGTAATTAATGATATTTGACAGACTGTCTAATGTTTCATGCGTTTATAATAATATACCTGAGTTTGGTATCACACATTCAATGTGGGAGTGAGACACTAAATATTTGGGTATTTGGTTTAATATTCTACCTTACCCCTGTGTCGTAGTGATGCAATATTCATAGTGGAGAGCTACAATGAACATCCTTCCTTCTCTAAATACTTTTTCTTTCAGACCGTACTTTTACCACAGCTTCCCTGAATGAGCTATTATTTCAATTCTATGTGTTGGAATTGGAACGATTGCAGATAAAAAGGCAAAAGTGTTGCCTGATGCAGAGTGCTTGTGTAAAATTATGATTTACAAAAATGAATAATTTTGCAATCTGAACGTTTCACTATAATAGTGCAGAAATAAACACAATCAATAAAGCTCTTGAAATATTTGCATACAACCGTTCATTTGAAAAACCACCTGGCGATTGAACCACAACCACGTTTGATGACTACAGTTTTGATCGGTGCCCTTAAACCTCGCTAGACGCACGCATGTGGAAAGATCACCCTATCTTTTTGAAATACGATTTTCAATCAGAGAAGCGTCAGGGTGTCTGGGTTTGGAAGGAATTTGACGGCTGTGTGTGCATCTTGGTGCTGAGGAGGGAGTTGATATAAGGCCAAATCCGGTCCGTATCTGTACCGGAAAATGAGTGCAGGATTCCCTGTGACCTGAGCAAGAAATAAGAAACAAATGAATAATTAAACATTTTGAAGGAAATATTGATTGATGGAATGGCAGAATGTGGCATTGCCAGGCAGTTTCACATATTCTTCTTCCTTGTCAAAAAACTGGGACCTACAGTACGTTACCCACAATGCAACTCAACTGCCATTGTGTGATATTAGCAGCTAATGTGTCATCATGCCTCTAGCCTCAAGCAGATGAGGAGCAGCCTACAGAGGTCTGGTAAGATCACTTCCTTCTAACTCAACATCCCCAGATTCTTTTCATTTTCAAACCTGAAATCGTCAACTCCAACTGACACTGACTTTAGTGACATCACTTGAGGCAATTAATCAGACTTTGCTGCAGGACCTTCTGGAGCCACAAGAGGCTTTATGCAATTTGTTTTCACATACGCAGCAGTACTCCCTAAGACCTGTAAACACACTATGATGTGTAAAAGTTGTGGGTATTGAATTTACAGTTAGATCATTATAAACAAATTTAACTCAGACGACCATCTAACATATCCATGAAAAGGGAGTGTTCTACTGTACATTGTTTCGTTTTATTAATTGTAAAATAAAAAACAATTTATCACCATAAAAACAGCTAAGGCTTGAGAGTTGACTGCTGAATGAAAGCACTGAATGAAACTAAGAAACACATGTGATCCCTTTCATGAATCCCATGTTTTGTTATTGTTTGACATCTGGGTTTGATTTGTTAGAAAAACAAAAGACCATTTATCTGCTGGATTATCTATCGAAATAAAGTTTCACTCTGATTTTCATATGTTTAAAGCAAAAAGTACCGCTACTGGCTGCCTGTAGAAAAAATATTAAGTGAAGAATGTCCCATGAAAGAAAAGTATTAAGATAAGTACTGACTTGTATAGGTCTATGACGGGCTTGGCCACATCTTTGTAGTGTCTCAGTCTGGCCATCAGGGCTTCTGGTTTGTCATCATCATGCTGAATCAGTGGCTCCCCAGTGATGTCATCCTTACCCTGACGCGACACAAGTTAAAACATGCAGCAATGTAAAAAAGGCAAAGTTAAGAAATCCAGTGAAATCTCATGACAATATAACCGTTAAATCAGTTAAATAACAATCACACTACATCTAGACATACAGTTGTGTGAAAAAGTGTTTGCTCCCTTCCTGATTTCTTATTTTTTTGCATGTTTGTCACACTTAAATGTTTCAGATCATCAAACTAATTTAAATATTAGACAAAGATAACACAAGTAAACACAAAATGCAGTTTTTAAATGAAGGTTTTTATTATTAAGGGGGAAAAAAAAATCCAAACCTACATGGCCCTGTGTGAAAAAGTGATTGCCCCCTAAACCTAATAACTGGTTGGGCCACCCTTAGCAGCAACAACTGCAATCAAGCGTTTGCGATAACTGGCCATGAGTCTTTTACAGCGCTGTAGATAGAATTTTGGCCCACTCATCTTTGCAGAATTGTTGTAATTCAGCCACATTGGAGGGTTTTCGAGCATGAACCGCCTTTTTAAGGTCATGCCACAGCATCTCAATCGGATTCAGGTCGGGACTTTGACTAGGCCACTCCAAAGTCTTCATTTTGTTTTTCTTAAGCCATTCAGAGGTGGACTTGCTGGTGTGTTTTGGATCATTGTCCTGCTGCAGAACCCAAGTGCGCTTCAGCTTGAGGTCACGAACAGATGGCCGGACATTCTCCTTCAGGATTTCTTGGTAGACAGCAGAATTCAGGGTTCCATTTACCACAGCAAGTCTTCCAGGTCCTGAAGCAGCAAAACAGCCCCAGACCATCACACTACCACCACCATATTTTACTGTTGGTATGATGTTCCTTTTCTGAAATGCCGTGTTACTTTTACACCAGATGTAATGGGACATACACCTTCCAAAAAGTTCAACTTTTGTCTCGTCAGTCCACAGAGTATTTTCCCAAAAGTCTTGGGGATCATCAAGATGTTTTCTGGCAAAACTGAGACGAGCCTTTATGTTCTTTTTGCTCAGCAGTGGTTTTCGTCTTGGAACTCTGCCATGCAGGCCATTTTTGCCCAGTCTCTTTCTTATGGTGGAGTCATGAACACTGACCTTAATTGAGGCAAGTGAGGCCTGCAGTTCTTTGGATGTTGTTCTGGGGTCTTTTGTGACCTCTTGGATGAGTCGTCGCTGCGCTCTTGGGGTAATTTTGGTCAGCTGGCCACTCCTGGGAAGGATCACCACTGTTCCATGTTTTCGCCATTTGTGGATAATGGCTCTCACTGTGGTTCACTGGAGTCCCAAAGCTTTAGAAATGGCTTTGTAACCTTTTCCAGACTGATAGATCTCAATTACTTTGTTTCTCATTTGTTCCTGAATTTCTTTGGATCGCAGCATGATGTCTAGCTTTTGAGGGTCTTTTGGTCTACCTCACTTTGTTAGGCAGGTCCTATTTAAGTGATTTCTTGATTGAGAACAGGTGTGGCAGTAATCAGGCCTGGGTGTGGCTAGAGAAATTTAACTCAGCTTTCCAAAGATGTGATAAACCACAGTTAATTTATGTTTTAACAGGGGGGGGCAATCACTTTTTCACACAGGGCCATGTAGGTTTGGATTTTTTTTCCCCTTAATAATAAAAACCTTCATTTAAAAACTGCATTTTGTGTTTACTTGTGTTATCTTTGTCTAATATTTAAATTTGTTTGATGATCTGAAACATTTAAGTGTGACAAACATGCAAAAAAATAACAAATCAGGAAGGGGGCAAACACTTTTTCACACAACTGTACATGTACAGCCGTTACTCTATCAGTATCTTTTTGAGCTCATACATTGATAATTCATAAAGATATCAATAACACAACATCAACATTGGCCATGAAATTTGGTTAGAGATTTTCGGTCACTGACTTGATCTTTCCAGCCATTGTTTAAGGTGCTAAATTCATAATTCTGAGCATATCTGTGATTGAGGGATTGCCTCAACACTGTGGTTCAGGACAGCGTTATCAGCTGTAACTGCCGTATGAGAGCAGTGCAAAGCGGCGGCGAATAGCAAGCCAGTGGTGCACGCACACAGGGACTCACATGCACTAAAATGCAAGCGCAGCCGGACCGGCAACTTAAAAAAAGCACAACAGATGACTCTACTCTACTATATCTTTAAGTAGCAAATAGTTGTTTGCTGCTTTATTGATGCTCGGAATTTTAAATTCAGGAAGGTACTATGATGTAGGTTATTTTAGTTTCAAATGTCTCTTATGTTGGATAAAATGTCCTCCATTTTTAATTTGTTAACTTTCTATTTTCTGTTTAATAAAGAAAATAATAATGCTCTAAACCAAAGTTATTATGTGACTAATTTCCTAGTGACGCCATCCAAACAGGGCATCGAAAGCTCTAAAATAGCCTTCCAGTGAATAAGAGGCGAGCAATATCAGCGTCCTCGTTTAAAACTCTACTTAAGACTGAATTACATTTTTACTGTAATTAATTTATGTTTACCATTTATTTTAATTTATTTAAAGATCCCCTCAGACAAGATTTATTACAACACTGAGTAATACAAATTCTTAAAATTACAATCACTTCTTCACCTTAATTGAGTCCATGAAGATGACCTTTTTTTTCATTTTTAAAGTTAAACTACTAGACACAAGACAAATTAGACATGTAAATGTACATATTTGTGTTATATGTTTTACATGCTCTTGTAAGTATGTCCATTGTTTTATTAGCTCCTATGTCTGTGGCGCAACTGTGGAGCAACAACAGGGACCTTTTGAAGTGAAATATAAAGCAGCAGGATTCTTGTTGTTGTTGTTGTTGTTGTTGTGCAAGATGGCGAGGTAATGAATATGGAGTCTGTCCTTCATCTGATTCCAATCTCTCTTTTTGGAGAAGCCAGATATTCAATCCCTACCAGCTTAAAAACACACTGATTTTAATCTTGAGAGGCACAAACTGCCCTCCAGAAAATCAATAAAGTGCCACAAAAGAAAATGGTGCTAAATATTCTAAGCACTGTAACTCTACTGTCATTTAAAGACTTTTCAGACCTGCACTCGTGGTGGGTTGAAGCCCATGTTGTAGACTCGGCCACTGGCTGGATGGCTCATGCGTTCACTCAGTCTCTCCCTCAGAGTCTCAAAGGGGATGTTGAGGCTGATGACCATGTCCAGCTGGCACAGGTTGTTCATGGCTTGGGCCTGCGACAGAGTGCGGGGAAAACCTAGACAGAGAGAGAGAGAGAGAGAGAGAGAGAGAGAGAGAGAGAGAGGTATCGTCCACCAGTTCAGTATGAATTTTTCAATTAACTACACAAACACTATGGTTTAAATGTATTTTCTAAGTTATAATTACCATTGTGAGTCAACAACATAAAGAAGACATACTCTACATGACATACTAAACCGTTTCACAGTTTCATACAGATATCAGTAGCTGGTAGCAAGTAAACATGCACTCAAGCTGTTTCCAGTTTCTCCTTTGAGATAATCAGTAGAAGTGACAGAATAACAATATCATGTACGTGTGAATAAACTTACTAGAAAACAAACAAACAATGTTTTCAGTTACATGACCCGGATTAACCAACAGCAGTAATAACAAGACATTATATACAAGATATTATCGCATGGTGGGATTTGACATGGCAAGCTTACTGGAATATAGGTCCATTAGTTTTATAGGCCATTTTCTCTCTCTCTTGTTGTTGTTTTGGTATCAATGCATTTAGGCTCGTCTTCAGTTTATTGCTTCCGTGTGAGTTAGATCGGAAACTGGCAATCACTCTGTATGTTCCATTGTTTGGTCACTTAAGAGCTGCTAGATCTCTCCAACCACTAGAACATCATGCTGCCAAGAAATGAGTGACAGCAAAACACCAATCAGAGGTTACAAGAGGGAATATATTTTTTATTTATATATTTTATGAGGGTGTGTGTGTGTGTGTGTGTGTGTGTGTGTGTGTGTGACCTTGATTTGTTTGCCCTTTTCGCACACCAAAAAAAGTGTATGTTTACAGATCATGTTTCAAGGTTTAAACGTGTGTAACACCAACTAGTCCGTTTCATCAATGTTTGGCATCTCTCTTAGCGATGTGGAGAATATTTAACTTGAAAAAGCACAGCGATGTGCTGAGTTTGTCATCTCAGGATATCTCACATGCTACTCTATACTCATGAAAGACAGTTTTCTGTTTTATAACATCTCACCGTAACACACTTCTGAGGCCATTTACAATCAGCACTGTTCATCATGTATCACATACACAGAAATGAACATGTCGATTGTAATAATATTACTACATGTATTATCCCTCCATAGTGACTTGATCTCCAACATATGGAAACCAGGTCTTTTTTACTGACTAATGTTGTAACAAAGGTCACTTGGCACTGAAAATTATAAATTGAGACTTGCAATAGAGACCAGGACGGCACAGAGAACTTGACCCTCCTGATATTAATGGAAAGAAATCACATTTCTTTGATCTTTGTTTTAAATCTGGTGCTAATCCTTTGTCAATCAATCAATCTTAATGCTTCATTCAATCACAATTTTCTTCCTTTCTCTCCCACTCCTCCCACTTCTTCTTAATCGGCTGATTATGGGCGTCGACTTTTTAGTGAACCAACTTCAGTTTACCACAATCTCCATCAGTCAATCGCGTCGCTGCTGTCAAACTTTAAATCTGTTCTCCTCTCTGCTGCTGTGAGCGGTCATTTTAGGCAACATCGTTGCGGCCCTCCTCCACCCTATTATCATCCATTCATCCATATTCCAGGTTGAGATCCATATTCAGAAGTCCACTCCTCATCACATCCAGACCTTCGGCATTCTCTTCATCTCATCACCAACACCACCACCAGTGTCGAGACCCCATAAGGGGGTTTCCTATTCTTCTTTCAGCTTCACCACCCACAAAAATGATATGACGTCACGATGGTCTAATTGCCAAAGACTATTCACATTTCTCATCTTTTAGTGCACGTCCATTAACATGTTTGCTCACTCAGAATGAAGTCCCTCCTGATTTAACTGTCAGTTGAATAACAGTACAGACCTGATGGTACTGTATTCAGTACCTCCCACCACTAATCACCCACAGATGTGGGATAATATAAAGTGTATTTTTCCACTAACTTACTCAAAGACACACTGGATATGGCCCTTTGGGGGCCATGTTTCTGAGCATGCAGATGTTTAGAAAATGCATGCCTGGTGACCTCAAACATGGCTATCAGTCTGGGGATTTTGGGGTGGCACCTAGAGTGGCCAATCAGATTGAAGGGGTGGCTGGCAGTTCCCATTACTGGCCATGATGCTACACTATGAATAACATATTCATTCATATCACTACAAATGATCAAGACAATGGATGGGGGCTGCTATAAGATAACGTTTGTGTACCATATCAGTAGAATATAGTACAGGCCATGCACTCTGATTGTATAAAAACAAAAACGCCATTTCCATACCATCCAACAGCCAGCTGTGGTCAATCAGCTGTTCCAGTCTGGGCAGCATCAGTTTGGTCATCACATGGTCAGGCACCAGCATGCTTCTTTCTACATAGCTCCTCACCAGCACACCTGCCTCTGATACACATCAGACAGGTAAAGATACAGTAGTCAATGCATGTCTGTTTCCATGCTTCCAAATTTAAAAAGACAGGACAGGGCATGTTGAATGTCACACACACATATACATGCTTGGCAAGGCTTTTTAATGTAACTATCCCTCTAGAGATACTAAATGGTTAAAACTCTCACTGCCAATTCCTGCACGTAAACTAGCAGAGCTTATGACTCGTTTAAAATTACACTGACATACGGGGTCTACTGTGGATTTATTAAGCAAATACACATATTGAACTCACTGGTTTATAAATCCTGTAACTTGTTTCAACAGCAAAAAGACTTAGACCGGATCCAGCAAGTCACAACTTCACTGAAACGTTTCAGTAATGATAACCAAGAACACATGTTTTTACTTAAGCCTCTGCACTACACTGAACTCCAATTTAATTATCTGGAGGCTTATACATGGGCTTGGCACATGCTTAAATTAACTCCAGTTGGGTAGCTATAATGAGGAAGTTGAAAAAGATATTTGGGGAAACATGTAAAAAAAAAACCTTGGTAGGGACACTTTTGCACTTGATTGAAATCAGATTTAAAGAAAATGACGTTTGCAGTCAGATGTCTCGTGTTTTATGGCTTGGTTTGAAATGGGAAAGTTTACTGTCAAATGAACTTCTGGAAAACAACTGAAGATCAGAACATGCGCATATCACACTTTTCTTTTTTATAACTACGACATTAAGAGATGGATGTTCATATGCAGCATAGAAGCCGTTGACTTTTCCGCAGACTGGTTCTTCCTGTTCACGGGCGGATGTATCCTACCTGTATTTGCCGCTATGCTCTCTCGTAGGTAGTGGCCGCTGGACAGATATTGCAGGCCAAAGCTTTGCGCAATCCTCTTGGATATCGTTCCTTTCCCTGATCCTGGTGGACCCATGATAGCAGCTCGGAATAACTTGGCCATTGCTTCCTCGAACACAGGCGGCAAATGTAAAACCTCTTGGATGGACAAACGTTTGTTAATGTTTTCCTCTTTGTGCGCGAGAGAAGGAAGTAAATTACCTCTGAATTAAACCCGTGATCAAATGCGTGCATGAGCGACCCAACCGGTCCAAAGCTCAAGGCTTCTAAATTTGTCTTGCCAATGTAAACGTCAGTTTAACCTCTGGGTCTGCAGTTGTTACGGCAGAGCCCACAGTCTGCGCATATTAGGGCTATCCTCCTGTGACTCGGATCAACTCAAAGCAACCTTTTCCTTTTTTTCTTTCAGTTCTGTTAAGGACACACTACATCCGTCTACGCCTTTACTGACAGAGACCTTTCTCTGCGAATGAATGAGAGTCTCTCCACAACGCCCTATTTCTTTTCTGCACACATCATCCAGAAAAAATGCGGATAACTGAGTCGCACGAACTTCGCGGGGTAAACTGGTTACTGTAGTTTTTATATACAAGCTATGTACAATAACAACAACTGTAGTCAGTTATTTCATAGTTTCCGCAAAGAGAGGGAAATTGTGACTCATTACATTTTACAAGCAAATGGATGTCACACGAGAAACATCCTTCCAGCTATTTAATTATATCTATAAAAATAAAGAGGAGGAGGAATTAGGAGAACGTGTGTTTGAGCATGTATCATAGTTCTAACTCATGAGTACAAAAAAAGAAAAAGAAAAAAAGAGAGGATGTTTTCCTTTAATACAACATACATAGGCTAATAAGGGCTAATTCAGTTCACAGTCTGTTTGCAGTCTGTTTGGGAAGTCTGATCTGCTACTGTAAATGGGAAATCACCTTCTATTCATGTTAAAGCTTGTTACAAACTTACAAACTGTAATGGAGACAAGCAGCCATTTGCCCCTAATTTATTACATGCCAGAAAGGGGCGTGTGCGTGTCAAACAATTTAATGCCACCTGAAACCATGAATATAGTGATATTAGCAATGGAAATAGATCATATAATAATATCATCGTGCATTTTCGAGTGACTTAACATGTTAAATTAACATTTAATAATAATAAATAAATAAATAAGCAATAAATAAATGAAGAGTCACAAATGTCATGCATATTATTCCATTACTCAGTAAAGTGGGCTAGTCTTGAATTCCACCACTTGTTGTTGTTGTTCTCTCATATTAGAGCTTGTATTATTCATTATGGTTCATGTGGTTGTTATTTTTTTCATGGTTTTGTACTGCTAGCTGACTGGCGCAGAAATGCACGAGTCGCTGTCATTCCGCGCAACGTCTGTGGACGGGCGGAATCAAGTGAAGTCTACTTGTTGCGAGCCATACGGGAGCGGCAGCGTCCCGGAGCTGTCAGATATTGCGCACAGCCTTCAGTCTTCAGTCAGTGGACTACCTAGACTAATCCACCAGACAAACAACTCGGAAGATTAACCTTTTTTAGCTTCGTGAAAGTAGTTTTCGTCTCCACACCCGAAAGCCTGTTTTTAATTTTAGGATCATTTTTGTCACATGGCTTTGGAGAATTCAATAACAACAAAAAATGGCGACAATCACGTTGCTCTGTGTGGTCTTGCTGCGTCATTAAAAATATTCATGTCAACACGGGGAATCAACGGGAAAATTGCAGGTAAGTGATATGTGTTGTACATTTCAAGCGGACTGAATGTAATTAGAATAAATTATTATTTTTGATTCTTACAACATGGTGTTTGTTTTTGCCCAGAAAAGGGGTGTGTATGCAATGCTGGGCGTTAACGTTTGGCTGCACAATATTCAGAGAAAATTGCACTTATATTTCGCCTAGTCGCTTTTTAAATAGCATATTTAGCCCAATTAAAGCAGGTATGCGTATTATTATATACTGACATCAATAACGGCGTTGTTTAGATTTGGCCAACTTTTGTGTACGTGTAGAATACAGCAACAAGCGTTTATTTCAGTTATCGATGTTGTGCTTTTTCTCAAGCAGTATCGGAGCCATGTATCTGTATTAGTGCCTGTTACCTTCACGGTTAGTAGGTTAGAATTCGGCACAACCCAGTTAGTTACTGAAGGGTTTATGTAATATCGACGCGCTTTCCTCACGGGGTCTCTTATACAGTAATTGATGTCAACGAATGGAGCATTCATCCATGACTATGTTTGTCTGCTGCCATGTTTAATTATTTGCACATGTGGCTTTGCTTTTCTGACATTAGGGGGTTTTTTTTTTTGGCCAGTGCCCTGAGCAGCGGGGCTAATGGAGTTGTTTTCATGAAGTGCGGAGGGCGGACTGTCGAGGAGGAGGAGCCGCTACGTCGGCCAGAGACGCCACCGGACTGCTGGAGATGCTGCTCGCGCCGAGGGGGGCGGAGCCCGCGAGGAGAAGCAAAACAAGTGTGACGTCACTCGGCCTTGTGGTTGGTATGAATAATACACAGCAGTTTGTCTCTACCAAGTCCTAGCAGGAAAGCGGTTTGAAAAAAAAAAAAAAAAAAAAAGTCTATGTACCCATAGCTGTTTTAAGAAATGAAACATTGACTCTGTGCACCGGCAGAATGGAAGTAATGAAAAACCAAATACTTTCATATGGAAAGAGATAGCAAATAACTAAACATGATAACATACGCAAGACTGTACAGCAAGCTTCCTCCTCCAATTTCCAAGAACTGCACAGCATTGTTTTAAGTTACATGTGTATATTACTCTGTAGATTACTCTGTCAGTATGTATGTTACTTGAAAATGATTTATATAGAAACAAATACAATTCTGGAGACTCCACTTGCATATGTTTTGTATGAGATATCACCAAATATGCTGAAAAATTGCAAAAGGCAGACTGTTATATTTACACCTGTTGACATGGACGGTGGATGATGAATGGAGTGAAGCCCCGACCTGCTAGATTTGTCAGGCTGCCCTGGTTCAGTTATCACAGTGCTGATGCTGTCCCCATCGAAGGTACAGTACTGTGATAACTGAAGGATGGCTGCCAACTTGACACGAGTGCAGTAAATCAAAGCATGTTCGCCTAACGAAAAAGAGGACGGAAGAGAAGGTGGACACGTGTAAGTATGTTTACAAAATACATAATTGTTTTGTTTAATGAGATATCCAAAAGTGTATATGTTTTTATTTACAAAATGGTTTTACCTCATTGAATCTGTCCCCACATTGTGGCATGCTCCAATAAAATCGATTAAACTCTATTGTATATGTGTATAAGAAACATTAAACTCAAAACCTGTAAATTAGAATTACCTTCACAGCCTATATAACTTTTACTTCACTATAATAAATAAAGTGGATTTTTTTTTCAATTATTCAAATGTGTATGGTCTTTTATTCATCTTTACTTTTGAAAAATTCAGTGGATCTTAAATACAGAAGGTTACAGCCACAAAACTATTAAGTGACTGAAGTCTCCATCTGATCAGTTTTGCTATTACATTGAACACTTTCTGGCAGCTATCTCAATAGCATTGCCAGCAAAGTTCATTTAAGTGTTAAAACAAATCATGCAAATTCTATGAAGAAAACTAATTTCCTGCATTTAGTGTGTCCTCTTTATTATCAAACTCTATTGCTTTGGAAGTTTGCATTGCAGCATAATTCCTAACACTTTATGAGTGTAAAGTTTAGAGTAAAAATGTGTTCTTCAAGTTTTTTCCTGATTAGACTGTTAGGACTGACCTGGACTGTTCCTCAATGGGAGCACTGGTCTGCAGGCTGAAACGGAAGGTAGTCCTGAATGGTTGTTCCACATTGTTATCAATAGAGGGAGCTAAAGATCTATAAATCGGTCTTTGGGGTCTCAATGACAAGGCCTACAGCTCTGCCCTACTGATCCTGAAACCTTAATAATGAATATGATGATGACAAAGTTGTGAAAACAAATGAACTGCTCATTTGTCACAATTCATGTTAGATGTTGTGTAAATATTTGTCTGAATCCAGTTTTGATGGCAAAAAGAAGCTCTATTTTTTTTTCCATGACTATGTGACTAAGAGGTTTTTTCCCCAACTAAGCATTGCAGTTGAACATGATCTGAGACAGCCATGTATGATTCATATCAGTTACAGCTATAGTCTCCATTTTGGTATAAATTGTCATTGTTGCTTTAGAGAACCTTACAGGTATAATGTTCAATATGTAATATTGATATATCACAGTTCAAAACACACTGAAATGGATTGTATTTTCAGAACCCTGTTTTGAATAATACTTGCACTGTTTGAGTCATGTCTGATAAACCACAGGTCAAAGCACCTGTCCTTACAATGTTTCACTGAAAGGGTACATACTGTAGCTATGGAAATCCCCAGTCATCATACATATTTTGTTTTTGTCTCACTCTAACCTCAATCTGCTCAACTCGCCTCGATTCACATGTGTTTTTCTGACTTACCGTGTAGATACTTTGTGGTAAAGCATACTTTTTTTGATAATTTAACATGACAAGTGAGGTTTACATTTCTTGAAATAACTATTTTCTAAATGTGGTCAGGCATTGAAACCCTTAAAATGTCACGATGATATACTCAACTATTGTACACTGTACACCAAAACTCTACCTGCCACTGACGGCAGGGAATTATTGTGAAATTCTGACATACGTCCTTCAAAGCACGGCACTACGTGTTTACTGGGATGTGGCATGGGAAGTCCCTACCTTAAAATTATTTTTGAGTTATTTTGTCATACAGAAACCTTCACGTTCTTTCATTGCAGGGAGAAAGTAGTTTTCTCTTTTTTCTCCACACAGATCCCTCAACCTGCCAGAGCAGTAAACCAATAGGCCTTACTAAACCTGCAATGATGTCATTTGGTGTTGAAATGAACACCAACAGAATGATGAAAACTGCTGTTGGCACTGACAACTGCACATTCAGGACTGATGTCAGAAAAGAAAAGGGAGAGGAAATACAAAAATACCAAACCCAACTTTTAACTTTAAATCTCCCTTTTCAATGCTGAAACATTTGATTATGGGTTTATCACGTGCTATAGTGTAGTTATAAGCAGATATACGTGTGTTTTAATGTATTTATCAACAACAATATGTCTTCCTGGGGGCACGCATAAGGAGAGGCCTGTGTATCACAGATAATGAACGACACTAGTAAAACATAAAACAGTTCAAATATCTACCTTGGAGAAGTTATAATTGCTGACAAATACTGTATATTAATAAACACATAAAATGGCATTATAGCTGCGTAAAAATACATTGTGGTGTGTTTATCAAATGTTGGTATACTGCTCATAAATGCTAAATAAGGGGAGTTAAAGTGTGTAAAATGGTTACCCTTTAAACTTATAACTAAATTTTGGTTTCGCTCCACATTCACAGAGCCATTTATTCCAGTACTACTTGTGAAAAAATGACAATATACACTTTGTCTCTGTTTGATCTTAGCACGCAGTCAGGGGAAACTCCATTATTTGTTGACACACAGAGAGCATGCTGACTAGTTTTAAGGAGAGAATTAGTCATATTTTTACACACTTCCTTGACTTATTTGTCCAAGGTTCTTAATTTCCTCTTTGTTAAGATGTCCCTTTAAAAGCAGAAACTTGTATATCACATGCATGCAACAGAATATCATGATGCAAGACACAAAGTGTGGCATACCTTTAACACTTTTAGGATATATACACCACTGGAGTGCTCTCACACGGTTTCCAGTATAATAACCACATCCAAAAGGGCAGTTATGCAAATATGCAAGAGATGGGGCCATGCAGTGTTATTGCGATCAAAGGCTATGAGTACATGTTGTCAAAGATTGAAAACACAATCTCAAAAACACAAGGACGTATACCTGCATGTTTTTCGCTTACAGAATGGCAGAGATCAATGATAACCCTCTATGCTACAGGGTTCAGAAGAAGTAAGAAGAAGGAGAATTTTCTCAACCCATGAAGGTCCGCTTAATCCTTCAGTATATCAGAAAAATTACATTCAACATCTGCAAATTTGATTCGTGACTTTCACTGGACAGGAGGGGTAAAAAATGAGTTACTAAAGCTGCCAGACAAATGTAGTTAAAAGTAGAAAGTTGCATATAAATGGAAATACTCAAGTACAAGTACCTCAAGCTTGTACTTAAGCACCATACTCAGGGGTGGCTGAGGCTCAGGAGAGCGGGTCGTCCATTAACGGCCAGTGGTTCGATCCCCTGCTCCTCCTGTCTGTATCTCCTTGGGGAAGATATTGATCCCGAAGACTGTCTCATTTGTGTGTGTTCTATGTGTGTGTGTGAATGAGCATTAGAGCAGGGGACACCTTGTATGGCACCTCCTTTCTGAGTCGTCTGAAGACCACCTGCTCTATAAATGTATGTTCATTTACCAAACATTTAAGTAAATGTACTTAGTTATGCCACCGGGGCATATAATGTACATATAGATGTTCAATAGATGTTCAAATTTAAAAGAATTTGCCTGGGTGATTTAAAGAATTATCAACCATGTTGGATTAAAAAGTGAGATGTAATGTTAATTCTTTACCTTGGATACAACATTTGACAAAAAACAAACAAGTAGATGAAAACTATTCAAAGGTTTATTTTTTCATGGTTAATCTTATCGGACCACCTTTTTGTCTTTTAAAGGGGAGTGAGTCACCACAACTTGAGTAATAAAAGCACACACACACGAGTCTGAGTCCAGCAAAGGGTTAATGTCTCATATTGAGTGACGGGTTAAACAGCCAATCAGCTGCCGAACTCTACACAGGCTATTGCGTCGTTTTCGGGAAAGGGGCTGATACTTGTCAGGAAGGGTTAGCGAGAACGGAGGAGGACTGCGTCTTTGCTTAAACTACCAATCATCAAACAAATTCCGTGGAACTAACCTAATATTTGGATACTGGATATTCATCTCGGGAAGTTTTGGAAACAAGTAGCCAACAAACGATAACGTAACTTCAATCCAGTGTCGAGAGAAGCTACAACTTGGTCCAGGCGTCAAATGTACTGAGTGAAACGGAAGTAACTTGCCAGCTGTCTGGCTAAGCTCGTGAGGTGAGTAAATGTCGGTTAACTGCTTATTGTTGAATGTGCCCATCGAGAGAAATGTCTGTCTTCTGGTCCATTCAACACACCCGCTTGTTTGCCATCTTTCCCCGTTGTTGTCAAGTGTGGAAAAAATCCGCTGTTGTTTGCTTTCACTATCCAAGTGAAGTAGCTACGTGAACTGGCTAACAAGCTAACGTTAATGTTCACCGATGTTTGTCCGTTGGGCTCGGATGAGACGCCATCCTATCATCAACGCTGTACAGGCAGTTAGATGATGGACATTAAAATGTAACGTTAACCTAAAATGTAAAATATTACTCTAATGAATCATGTTGACAGAGTGAGAACTAAGTATTAGGAATGTCTTATAATATGATGCAATCCAATACAACAACGCCATCTCAAACCATGGCCTGCTATTGGAAAAGAAAGTTTGACAAAAACTAAGTTAAACATTTGGCATAGTTTAATAGCTATTTTATTATTTGATTTAAGGATATTGGATTAGGTCCACCTTAAACCAAACTGTCAACAATACTCAAAAGTGTAATCTTCTTGTAATAGCCAGCCGTCTATATTCTTTTCTTGTGTGTAAGGAAGGTGGAACCTATTGATAATTTTATCTCGGACCAGGGAACCACAGGGACCCTGCTCCATAACTGTAAAGATGGATTGCAATAAAATGCTTAGGCCTTCGTTTTATTGTTAACTCAAATTTAACTCATTAAGAGAAGAGGATAATCAAAGGTGTCAGCTTTGTGTCCTGTAATTTAAATGGTGACGATTGGTGACAGACCATTTAACAACATTATTTTAATATGCGATTTTATTTTTCCACTGGTTCCATCATCTCAAATGTGAATATTTCCTGTTTTTCTTTCTTCTCTTTGATATCCAATTTTACTATTGGGATCTTGATTTTAAGCTTGTTGGGTTGTTAGACATGTTGTAGACCTTGGAGTTGTGATAGGCCTTTTCTACAATTTATTGACATTTTCTGAAAGGCAAAATGAATTGATTACTTTAGAGAATAGTCATAGAATGAATTCATAATGAAAACCTTTAATTGCCTCTTCCTGGGCCCAACACACACGCACACGCACATGCGCACGTGCACGCGCACACACAAGCACACGCACGCGCACACACACACACTCAAACACAGTTTGTGGTCTCACCACCACTCACTAAAAAAACTAAGATTTGTTAAACAATGAAAGAACGTTTGAGCGTTTTAATTTATTTTATTACATAGATGTAAACTGTTAATTGACTGCTTTGCGGAGGCATACAGCCATGAGGTGGCAATTGTAGTTTACTATTAACACACATTTTATTTGTTTTATACCCAATGAACTTTGAGATCAATTTACATGCTTGTGTTGTTTTTTTTCCCTCAAACATAAGCGGTGACTATTTTTAAATTCTTCAAAGGAATTGACCTTTAAAATGATGCACTGAAATGATAATTTAATTGTAAAAAAAGAAAAGGATTTACAATCTGACATTTCTAAGATACTTTGATATAGGATAGTGATCAAAATTGAACATTCGTAGTAGTTTGATCTCCGTTTTTAAGTTTATTGCAGTTGAAGAAAATAGATAGGCCCACCGTTTCCCATGATAACATGATATTTAACATCAGAGTATCAGATGTATCACTTTCTTGACCTTTTCTTGTATTAACCAAGTGGCCTCTCTGATGTTATTGCTTTAACAGCCCCAATGTCTGCCCACAATTTTCACTTCAGGCACATTGGTTTCCAGGCTTTCAAAAAGAGAGATGTGTTTTTTTGCACATTTTGTTGAAATGTAATGAAAATTGTAACAAACGCACTTTTTCATGCTTTTGTTAGTTCATGTTTTTTTTGCTACAAAATAGTTCAATTGAGCCAATTTGATAAACATCCTATAAAAAGAAAAATAGTCTCAGTTTTTGATTTGCTGTGTTCTCCTGACTGACTGATCGGTCAGTCAACATAATGAATGTACGCAGCTTATGTGGGTGCTGAATCATCAAAAACTCCCTGGTGGGATGGTGCACTAAATTAATGACATTTAGGCGAGTGGCCCTGCTCAGCATGCACACTGTGTTTACATGCACAAAATATCTATATTTTTGGGCCATTAATCCAATAAAGACAATACTTTACTAAGCTATTTACATGGCTAATGAAAATTAATATTCCACTAATTCCCGTTTACATGCGGCCTCGAATACTCTGATTAACATAACCGGTGGCGGGCTGTTTGACCATGCAGACACAGTTTCCCTCTTTCATTACTGTAAACCACCTTCTTGAAAAGTTGCCATATTTGTGCATATTCAAAAACCTGTTGATATTTGATATCAGTCTTTCATAATGTTTAAAAAGTAGGTAGTTGGTGTTTCTCCTTACCACCAGAAATGTGAGCTTTTCTTTTGGGCATGCATCTCTGCCAAGTGCTGTAACTCAGCAGTCTTTTTTTTTTTTTTTTTTTTTTTTTTTTTTTAATAGGTAAATCAACTTCCCAGTAGGAACACTTGAATAGCCCTTATTGAAATCCTTCTAAAAGTTGTAAAATTCAGTAATGGCTGAATCCAGAGTTTTTCCCTGGCTCCTTTCATGTAAATGAGAACGAGGTTGGGCTGAGAGCCGGGGTAAGAAATCACGCTAGTGCGCATGCTCTCTGCTCTCCATAATGCAGAAGGTACGGGTATTTTCTTTTATACTCTATACTCAGAAGTCTGACTTTTTTTGCTTCATGCGCCACTTTGAACGCCGCTGTATCCAGTTCTCTTTATACATCCATGGTACAACCGTGTGTACAAAAAACAGAGCTTGTAGTAAACAAGCAAGAGTCCCCAATTGAGACGCATATTCCAAATGCAACATGGCCAAAGAATACTATCTGCTACCACATGTCTCAATCGGAATATGCTCCATTCAGAATGTTTACATGACACTAATATGATTTTTGAAGTGTGAAGGCAATCGGCATAAGTAAAAAAAAAAGTTAGGCTGTAAACAAACTACACCATGGTCGCATGAGTGTTAGTATACACATCAAGGCTGTGAAGGCGGACTAGTAAGCGTGATGATTTAGCCTCATTTAGCTACTTGTTAGTAACCGCATTTTTTTTAAGGCGCCAGAGGATTATCTACTGACGTAATTTGTATCGAACAAAACATTAAAATCACTTTTGCTTGTATTAAACACAGACCTCATTTCATGCCTCTAACCACAAACCAATAAAACAACAACAACATTGCCTTCCTATGATAAGTTGTCAGCCAGGGTTTCCGATTGACAAAGTAAAAGTCATTCACAATTGTTTTTGCTCAAGGCTTTTACTTTGAAAAGTATCTGCAGGAAGTTCTAAATCAGTAAAAGAAGGTTGTCATGGGGAAAATGAGGCTAATGTTATTTCACTTTCACATTTTTGTTTCTCAACCTTTTAGACCGGGTAATTACCTCGGACTTAAATAAGCAAAATTGATGCAAATGATGCAGAAGAGTTTATTAATTTGTTGGTGTAGTATTCACTATTTTTCCTTCTTTTTTTTTTTTTGACCACCAAAGTTTATACATTGTACACAGTATCTATTAATATTATATGTGTATAAAAGCAAAAATATCATCAGTTGAGTCCAGTGCACCCAAACTAGCAAAACCTTTAAATCATTCCTCGACTGAAGATTATTGTTTAGTTCTGGTTTTGAAAATGAGCTGATACGAGTAGATTATTAATCAGTTGGTTTATCGATAGAACATCAACTACCAACTACTTTAATGTTTGCTAAATAATTGTAAATTCTATGATTCCAATTTCCTGAGGTATTTTTACTACTTCTTTACATATTATAGACCAAACAATGAATTGTTCAATAATGATTATTGCAGCCCTAAAACAGTATTTTTAAATTGAAAACACAGACACGTATAGAGGCAGTATTCAGTCCTTGTGTAGACTTAACTTCACCCACACCTGAATCATCTGCCCAAATGTCGGGATTGGCTCTCTATAGTTGCATTATAAGCTGCTCCCAAGGTCTTCTTTCGTTTGGCAGAAACAATAGTTCCAAAATATGGTCTGGGCCGACGATTGCACAACTCTAGTAAAACTGCAGTTAGTTCACTGTTGCCTGTCTTGTCATGTCATTTGTTAATGACAGCTTTTTTTAATACACCACACCAAATATTAAGAGATGTTTTTACATTTAAGTGTTCAGAATTATGAATTATGAAGGCTGAATTAATCAGTCAATGTAAGAGGCACACAGATGACTCATTGAAAATCTCTTCTCAAGAAATTCAGCTATAATAAATGAGCAAGAGAAATGATGACTGTTAGAAGAACATGTTTGAGCACTGGCACATACACCAGATCACACAATATTAAAAAGTATGTATGTATGTATGTATATGTATGTATGTATGTATATATGTATATATGTGTGTGTGTATATATATAT